AACAAAAAAAGAAAACTACAGACCAATATCCCTAATGAATATAGATGCAAAAATTTTCAACAAAATCTTAGCTAACCGAATCCAGATGCTTATCAAAAAAATAATCCATCACAACCAAGTGGGCTTCATCCCAGGGATGCAGGGATGGTTCAACATACGTAAATCTATAAATGCAATTCATCACATAAACAGAAGCAAAAACAAAGACTACATGATTCTTTCAATAGATGCAGAAAAAGCTTTTGACAAAATTCAACACCCTTTCATGATAAGAACACTTAGTAAAATAGGCATAGAAGGGACATACCTAAAAATGATACAAGCCATATATGACAGATCCATAACCAACATCATACTGAATGGGGAAAAATTGAAAGCATTCCCACTTAGAACTGGAACCAGACAAGGCTGCCCACTATCTCCACTTCTATTCAACATAGTGCCTAAAGTCCTGGCTACAGCAATCAGACAGGAAAGTGGAATTAAAGGTATCCAAATAGGGGCAGAAGAGTTCAAACTTTCCCTGTTTGCTGATGATATGATATTATATTTAGAAAACCCCAAAGATTTAACCAAGAAACTCCTGGAACTGATCAATGAATTTAGTAAAGTCTTAGGATACAAAATCAATACACAGAAATCAGAGGCATTCATATATGCCAACAACAATCAAATTGAGAACCAAATCAGACTCAATTTCCTTCACAATAGCAACAAAGAAATTAAAGTGCCTAGGAATATAAACTAAGTAGGTAAAAGACCTCTACAAGGAAAACTATGAAACACTGAGGAAGGAAATAGCAGAGGATGTAAACAGATGGAAATCCATACCATGCTTGTGGATCGGCAGACTCAACATCATCAAAATGTCTATACTACCCAAACTGATCTACAGATTCAATGCAATACCTATTAAAATCCCATCAGCATTCTTCACAGATATAGAAAAAATAATTTTACGCTTCGTATGGAACCAAAGAAGACCCCGAATATCAAGAGCAATTCTAGGCAACAAAAACAAAATGGGAGGTATTAATATGCCAGATATCAAACTATACTACAAAGCTGTAGTAATTAAATCAATATGGTATTGGCACAAAAATAGGAATATTGACAAGTGGAACAGATCTGAGAATCCTGATATAAAACCATCCTCATATAGCCATCTAATCTTTGACAAAGCAGACAAAAACATATGCTGGGGAAAAGAATCCCTCTTTCAATAAATGGTGCTGGGAAAACTGGATAGCCACCTGTAGAAGGCTAAAACAGGACCCACACCTTTCACCTCTCACAAAAACCAACTCACGCTGGATAACAGACTTAAACCTAAGGTATGAAACTATTAGAATCTAGAGGAAAAAGTTGGAAACACTCTCCTAGACATTCGGCCTAGGCAAAGAGTTTATGAAGAAGTCCCCAAAGGCAATCACAGCAGCAACAAAAATAAATAAATGGGACATGATCAAACTACAAAGCTTCTGCACAGCCAAAGAAATAGTCATGAAAGTAAACAGACAACCTACAGAATGGGAGAAAATTTTTGCATCCTATGCATCCGATAAGGGACTGATAACTAGAATATACTTAGAACTCACGAAAATCAGGAAGAAAAAATCAAATAACCCTATTAAAAAGTGGGCAAAGGACTTGAACAGAAACTTTTCTAAAGAAGACAGAAGAATGGCCAACAAACATATGAAAAAATGCTCAACATCTCTAATCATCAGGGAAATGCAAATCAAAACCACAATGAGATATCACTTAACTCCAGTGAGAATGGCCTTTATCAAAAAGTCTCCAAACAATAAATGCTGGCGTGGATGCGGAGAGAGAGGAACACTCCTACACTGCTGGTGGGACTGCAAACTAGTTCAACCTCTGTGGAAAGCAATATGGAGATACCTTAAAGCGATACAAGTGAATCTACCATTTGATCCAGCAATCCCATTGCTGGGCATCTACCCAAAAGATCCAATGACACTCTACAAAAAAGACACCTGCACTCGAATGTTTATAGCAGCACAATTCATAATTGCAAGGCTGTGGAAACAGCCCAAGTGCCCATCAATCCAAGAATGGATTAATAAAATGTGGTATATGTATACCATGGAGTACTATTCAGCTCTAAGAAACAATGGTGATATAGCACATCTTATATTTTCCTGGTTAGAGCTGGAACCCATACTACTAAGTGAAGTATCCCAAGAATGGAAAAACAAGCACCACATATACTCACCAGCAAACTGGTATTAACTGAGCAGCACCTAAGTGGACACAGGTACTACAGTAATAGGGTATTGGGCAGGTGGGGGTGGGAGGGGGTGGGTATATACATACATAATGAGTGAGATGTGCACCATCTGGTGGATGATCATGCTGGAGACTCGGACTTATGGGGGGGAAGGGGAGAAAGGGCATTTATTGAAACCTTAAAATCTGTACCCCCATAATATGCCGAAATAAAAAAAAATTGTTTTGGAAAGAAATTTCTTGAGATCAGAATATATGAGTTTGTAATTGTGAAAGGCAAGGAAATTCTAGACCTAAGACATGATGTAATAATGATTGTGGAAATATAGAAAAGTAAGTATTATAGATTTAAAACTCAGAAAATGTAATGATGTTAACACTAAGTAGAACTATGTAAAGTCTTTATGCATGCAAATAAAAACAGAAATTCTATAAAAATAAGTATAAATGTATTTAGATGATAGAAAATAAGTAGGATGTTTTCCCCTTGTGATTTTTTTTTTCTTTTTTGGAAGACAGAGTCTCACTCTGTTACCCCAGCTAGAGTGCAGTGACATCATCATGGCTGTAGCTCACTGTAATCTCAAACTCCTGGGCACAAGAGACTCTCCTGCCTTGGCCTCTGGAGTAGCTGGGACTACAGGCAAGCACCACCAAGCCTAATTTTTTCAATGTATTTTAGAGAAAGGGTCTCCTCTTCCTGGCTTTAAGTGATCCTCCCACTTTGATTTCCCAGGGTGCTAGGATTACAGACATGAGCCACTGTCCCCGAGCCCCCTTCTGAGTATTTTTTATATTATTATATCATATTTTCAACCAGTTATTTTAAAGTAGAAGTATGAAAGGAGGAAAGAAGAAATAAAGGAAACTGGGATAGCTTAACTTCTATAATGGGTACAAGGAATATTGATAAAACATTTGAATTAAAATGTCAGGCAAGAAAGAATTAATCCCTGAGATAAATATAGCCAAAACCACATTCAGAATTTGGAGATTTCTGTATCATAAATACTCTCATCAGATTATTTGGTTTTTTGGCTATTGAGTTGTTTGAGTTCCTTGTATATTCTGGTTATTAACCCCTTATCAGATAGATAATTTGAAAATATTTTCTCCCATTCTGTTAGTTTTTTCTTCACTCTGTTGATTATTTCCTTTCTTGTACAGAAGCTTTTTGGCTTGATATAATCCCATTTGTCTATTTTTGCCTTGTTGCCTCTGCTTTTCAGGTCTTACTCCCAAAAATCTTTGCCCAAACCAATGTCCTGAAGCATTTGCGCAACATTTTGTTCTAGTAATTACATAGTTTCAGGCTTTATATTTAAATCTTTAATCCATTTTGATTTGATTTTTGTATATGCTGAGAGATGAGGATCTAGTTTCATTCTTCTGCATATGGATATCTAGCTTTCCCAGTGTTGAAGAGACTGTCCATTCCTCAATGTGTATTCTTGGTGCCTTTTTGAAAATGAATTGGCTGTGAATGTGTGAATTTACTTCTGGATTCTTTATTCTGTTCCATTGGTCTATATTTCTGTTTTAATGCCAGTTCCATGCTATGTTGGTTACTATAGCTTTGTAGTATATTTCAAAGTCGGGTTGTGTGATGCCTCCAGCTTTGTTCTTTTTGCTTAGGATTGCTTTGACTATTCAGGATCTGGTACTTAAAGTTTCCTTCCTCACTTACCTATAAATAACTTTATTACAAAATGCCCTCTTCTTGGTTGCATTTTCTAAGCGTTTGTTAAACAACTAACAATACTATATTTCAGGCCCAGTGGTGGGTGCTGGGGATGCCAGAAAACAAAAGTCTTCTCTCAAATGAACTTTGGGGCAGGAAGTCATAGAGGATAAATTTATAAACCCTTTCAGAACAATGTGATGAGAATTGTAATTGATGTACACTTAGGCTGCTGTGGGAGCACAGGGAAGAGACATTTTTCTAGCCTTTTTCATCCTTTGGGAAGGTAATATCTGAGCTTCATCTTGAAGGATCTGTAGAAATTAACCAAGGAGAGGAATAAGATTGTAACAACATAAGTGAAAACAAAGGTAGAGGTAAGAGACGTTACTGGGGAGTCATTGAATGGCTTAGATGGATTATGTTCAGATTTGAGTTTTATTATTCTGAGCATAGAGTAGAGGTCATTGTTGAAGGGCACAAGAGTGAAAACAGGGAGAACAGCAGGAAACCTGTGTAATTTAGTGAAAGGTAAGAACTGAATAAATCAGTAAGATGGACTGGGCTCAAGAAATATTTAAGATGTAAAATGTGTAGAATTTAGAAGTTTCTGTTTTCTAATGTGGACTACTGGAAGAATGCTCATACCAACTGAGAGGAGGGGATACCTAGTACAGGAAGGCAATCTCCTACCTGTAGTTTAGTAACAAGTCTTCATGTATCTGCATAGGCAAACTTAATGTAATATGTATGCACATAAAAGATAATTTTATTTCCTAAAGCATGGAAGTGCTGTTATTTCAACTGGTTTCTTGGGTCTTTTAGGATTAATGAAATCGAAAAACATTAAGATTATAAGATAATACTAGAATTCAGGAGGCTTTTTTTTTTACTCCAAAATTTATTTATTCTTACCAGTTTTCTTCTGCATTTCATTTTCCCCTTGCTATTTTATTGTCATAAGATTTTTTTTAAGTTACCAAGGGAAAATGTCATATAAAATTAGTGTGTCTGCTATGATTTCTTGATTCCCATGATATAGAATACTAACAGTTGTATTTTTTAGGGTGTTTTCAAGCCTATGGACCTTAATCATGTCATCAAACTCCTTGAAGAGACTGATAAGGTGAGTAAACTTTGAGAGCAAATTACTCTGCTGCATCACTTATAAATTTTTATTTCCCTGAAAGGTAACATGAATTCCCCTAAATTTTAGCTTCATTTATCTCCTTTTGTTGAAGATATTTCAAACAGTGTGTATCTTATATCCAAGGACTGTTTGAATTTAGTGTGAGCATTTTTAACAAAACAGGGAGGCCGGGGAAGGAGAATAGATTTTCTTATATGGGATGGACATACCCATAGTGGCTGTAAACAAAAGGAATCATAAGAGCAAAGGAAGGGTCATCTAGCCTCTACAAAGTGCTTGTTACCAACTAGGATTGGAGGAAGGGAGTGGTAGAAAAAAGGGTAACATGATGTACTAATTAAAATTTCCTGATATGAAATCAGACAAATACACACACATACAAACACATGCATATACATACTCATTGATAATTTATTTTGAGAGCAATCTTATATAGAATGTAATGAAATTATTTTGGGCACAAGACTCAAAATTGAGAGTTTAGGTATTGGGAGAAAGTATAACAAATATGTATGCACACATGCTCATCCACCACATGATATTATCCAAGAATTGACTTAATGCCTGAAAGCAGCACACACTATAAAATTATGTGGTGATTTCCAAAGAAGAGTGTATATTCTTAATAAGTAGAAAATGGATTAACCATAGTATAGCCTATCAAAACAAAACAATGTCCTATGAATAGCAGGCACAAAAATTTGGTCATTGTTTTAACATTTTTTTGGTCTCTACTTTTTTACCTTAAAGAAAAAACAATAACTCTAAAAGAATAATTTATCTTTTGCTGCCTAAGATTTCTGTGAAAAGTTATTTTTAAATTGTGACTATAGTTGCTACATAGAGCTCCTATTAGCTGTTTTGTTTGTTTGTTTGTTTGTTTGTTTTGAAACAGAGTCTCATTTTGTTGCCCAGGCTAGAGTGCCATGGTGTCAGCCCTGTTCACAGCAACCTCAACCTCCAGGGATCCTCCTACCTCAGCCTCCCGAGTAGCTGGGATTACAGGCCTGTGCCATCACACCCAGCTAATTTTTTCTTTTTTAGTTGCCTGGCTAATTTTTTTTTTCTATTTTTTAGTTGAGATGGAGTCTCCCTCTTGCTGAACTCCTGACCTCAAGCAATCCTCTCACCTTGGCCCCCAGAATGCTAGGATTATAGGCATGAGCTACTGTGCCCAGCCTCCTATTAGTTATTTTATAAGGCTAGGGGGAAAAAAGGATAAACAATGCTGTGGCTTCTCAGAAACAATTTAAGAAGATTAAAAGAACAGAAAGAATTCAATCATGAAAAGACATCACTGTATAGACTTTGTTTTCATTCTTAATTGACTGAAGATATTTGGTTTGCACAGAATACTGAGCATATTTTTAAAGTTAAAAATACAATTTCTAGAGTCAGATTGCCAAATTTGACTGCTATCACCACCACTTTTTAGCTGTATGTTTTTGGACAGATTAGTTAAAGTATTTCAGCTTGCATTTCTTAGTCTGAAAAAGAGGGATAACAATAGTATCTTCCTAATGGGCCATTTTGAAGATTAATGAAGTGATATGTATATATAGTGCCTATATGGTACATGGCATAGAAAAAATGCACAATGTACTTCAGCTATTATTATTATTTCTGAAAACAATTATTGCTTTTATATTAACCTAGATTTGAGTCCCAATTTCCTAATCAAATTTAAATGATAGTTTTTCTTGATTCATAGTATTTGTTCATATTTATGGTGTACGTGTGATATTTTGTTACATGCATAGAATGCATAATGATCAAATCAGAGTATTTAGGATATCTATCACCTCAAGCATTTATCATTTCTATGAGTTTGGAACACTTCAGATCCTCTGTAAGCTATTTTGAAATACACAATACATTATTATTAACTATAGTCACACTACTGTGCTATTGACCATTAGAATTTATTCCTTCTAACTGTATGTTTATACTTACTATCCTACTTCTCTTCATCCCCCCATACACCCTTCTCAGCCTCTTATAATTATCATTCTACTCTCTACCTCTATGAAAACAACTTTTTTAGCTCCCACATATGAGTGAGAACACGCAGTATTTGTCTTTCTGTGCCTGGCTTAATTCATGATTAATGATGTCCTCCAGTTCCATCCATGTTGCTACAAACGGCAGAATTTCATTCTTTTTTATGGCTGAGTTGTATTCCATTGTATACATATACCACATTTTCCTTTTCCGTTCACCCACTGATAGACACTTAAATTGATTCCATGTCTTTGCTATTGTACGTAGTGCTGCAGTAAACATGGGGGTGCAAGTATCCCTTTGATATACTGATTTCCTTTCCTTTGGATAAATACCCAGTAGTGGGATCACTGGATTGTACAGTAGTTCTGATAGTTTATTTTTATCCTCACTGTTTCAGGAAACATTTTATAATGCTTACATCATAATATAGTAATATAAGAATTACTTGATAATTTTAATGTGTGTACTTTGTTTTTATATTGAAGAAATTTTTAAAAATCTCAACAGGCTTAATAGCATAAAAAAACTAAAATAGATCATTTGTTTTAGGATGATTTTGAAGAAAAACAGCTTAAATGTGTTAAGAAACTGGTGCAGTGTTTTCAGAATGGACTTGTATCCTTTACATATATATATATATTTTTTTTTTTTCATTCCATTTATCCTGAATCAGAATTTCTGTTAGAAAATGTTTTAGTTTCCTACTGCTGTTATAACAAATTATTACAAATTTAGTGGCTTAAAACAATGTACGTTTATTATCTTACAATTTCGGAAGTCAGAAGTCCGAAATCAGTCTCACTGGGCTAACTAAATTTAAAATATTGGCAGCTGGATTTTGGAGCATTTCAGGTTAAAAAAAGAAAAAGAAAGAAAAAAGAAAAGATATTGGCAGAGCTGTCCTACTGAAGACTCTAAGGAGAGAATCACTTCCTTGCCTTTCCCAACTTTTGGAGGCTTCCTGTATTCCTTGGCTCATGCCCTCTTTCTCTCAGTGGTATCACTCTCACTCACCTCTGCTTCTGTCGTCATATCTCCTTCTCTCTCTGACCTTCTCCTGCCACCCTCTTTCCCTGGTATGGATCTCTGTGATTACATTGAGCCCACCTGGATAATACAGTCTCGTTTTCCCATCTCAAGATTCTTAACTTGTCCAGGGGATTAGGACACTAACATCTTTAGGGAGGCCATTATTCTGCCTACCACAGAAAATATATAACATTTGTAATTTTTATAAAATATTTTCTATCAGAAAGTAGAAATAATATTGAAGAAACAGTATAACACAATTAACTGTGTGGATAAGTCAGTTTCTATAGTTTCGGAAAGACAGTGGATTTAGTTAGGAGGGCCGTGTCAAAGTCTGTTTCTGTCAATTTATGTGAGCAGTTTTACCTCTGATAAGCTTCTTAACTTCTCTACCCTTATAAAGTAGAGATAATAGCACCTCATGAGATAGTTAGGAAGACCAGATGAAATCAGGTAATGTAAGTGCTTGATAATCTGCAAAACAGTATGTCTTAAAGCTCTCTGTGCATAAGAACCAGTTTGTTGTTGGGTTTTTTAAAAGCCTTTGGGTATATATGCTATTGTAAATTACAATAAAAGTATAACAGGAATATCAGATTGTTATAAAAGTTTTTGAATGTCCGCCCACTTTCTGTACTCATCTTGTCACGGACTGGTAACATACAGTTCCAGAACTGACAGTCCTCCATAGCACAGACCATACGTTTAGTAGTACTGATCTAAATGACTTGAGAATTGTCTGACTTGGTCTAAAGAACGTATCAGTTGGGCCGGGTGTGATGGCTCACACCTGTAATCCTAGCACTCTGGGAGGCTGAGGTGGGCAGATCGCTCAAGGTCAGGAGTTCGAAACCAGCCATAGCAAGAGTGAGACCCCCCATCTCTACTAAAAATGGAAAGAAATTAATTGGTCATCTAAAAGTATATACAAAAAAATTAGCTGGGCATGGTGACACATACCTGTAGTCCCAGCTACTTGGGAGGCTGAGGCAGAAGGATGGCTTGAGCCCAGGAGTTTGAGGTTGCTGTGAGCTAGGCTGACGCCATGGCACTCTAGCCCGGACTCTGTCTCAAAAAAAAAAAAAAAAAAAAGAACTTATCAGTCTCTATATTAGCTTATTCGAAACCTCCTAAGCCTTCTATTTAGGGAAACATACCTTACAGTTTTATCTAAGGCTTTTCTTACTACATTTTTGCCTTGATTTTATCTGGATCTGTTAGATCAGTCTGAGAGCTTGTTTATAGAATAGATATCAAGCACAATTTACTGGTAGCTGAAAAAGTCTACTAGCAAGTGATTTCTTCTCTAATCTTAACCTGACATCTGCATCATTTTTTTTTTCTCGAGTTCGATGGTTGGTGACAAATGGTTTTATTTCTGGATGCCTTTCATAGGCTGGCTTTCAAAGTTATAAAATTTAGCAAAGATAAGTTAAGGGAAGTATCTTGATCACCTCTCGAGGAAGTTAACAGAGCTTCATACTTATCTAGCTCTCCTGTCTCTTCCTGAGAAGGTCCTAGAAAGATTCTAGAAGTAATGGGATTCAAACAAGAGGGTAAGTCATAACTACCATGATTTCTTAGCTATAAAACAAAATCAATGAAATTTATTTATGTACCAATAGGAATTTTTAAATAGGTAAAATAAAGATGCTTTTTACTTGAATATCTAGAAAGGGTACATTTTGCTTTGATACTAGTTTTAAATGAAACAAAATACCAACTAATTTAAACCTTAAAAACAAGAAAATGCATCTGAGTTAAATGTTAACAAAGTAGAACAGTAAAGTAAGATTTGGATTGCTCATTCCAGGGCAGTTTGTGTGTGTGTGTATGGAGAAGGGGCTCAAGATGAAGAATATAATTGAGCTTAATCAAAAGTTAATTTTTTTCAATGTGTTATTATTACTCATTGCCAATAGGAAGTTACCAATCAACCAAATCAATGTTACAGAAATTGGCAATCTAAATTTAAAGTTGTTTCTTATTTAAAAAAAATTGAATAAGAGGTTACTGAGATAAAAATTAATATTCAAAAACATTTGGTTCTAAGTTTTCCTCTTTAGACTTCAAAGTAAGAATAATTAAAGCAGTATTCTACCATATTTAACAAAATAGATGGAATTTTACAGACTTTCTTGACAAAAGTGCTACAAAGATATTAATCTTAATTTTATTTCTTAACCAAAAATATTAAAGCCCTTAAGGGATTTAGCACAAATATTTAAAATTCTGAATCTGTGTGCAGGAAAGATTGAAAAACAGCCCCGTTTTATAGAATCTGCATATGATATCCTAAAATTGTGTAGGTAAGTTGTCTTTCTTTATTTTGTATTAGCATGCATTTTATTATGTTTTATTTTGTATTACAAAAAAGGTATCATACATTATAGTATAGCAGAGTGATACAGAACTCAGAAAAAATTGCTTGATTCCAGCAGTTGTTGCAAAGATAGTCAATTTCACTGTAGTTTGAGATTATTAGCCACAAGAGATTAAAATTTTAAGTAAACTAAAAGGTTTTCTTATAATTAGTTGTTCTCAGCAAATGATAAATATTAGATGAAACAAAGGAATTGTAGTATTTTTAGAGAATTGATTAAATTTATAGGTAATACTTATAATTTCAGTCTAGTTTTTTTCTCTTTAGAAAATTTGGCTCTCCAAAGTATATTAGGTTATATGTAATGTTTTATTTGGTTTTCCAAATTTGAATGAAGAATAAAATATTACCAGTTATGTTTGGTATGTATTTGTGAAATGTAAATTAGAGCTAAGAATTATGAAATTAATATGTTTCATCCTTTCTACTGTTATTTTTCCATCCGGTTCTGAGAACTGTGAATATATTGTGCTTCCTTGCTGCCACATAGTGGCTAAGCTAGGTATATTTTAAAATATCCATTTTTAATTCTCAATATAATACGGTAGAGGAAACTTCTTAAAGTAGGAATAAACCTTTTTGACAATTTTACCTTCTAAACCTCTCTACCAATTTAACTTTTTAAATTGTTTCCTTTTATATTCAAATAGTAGAAAGGTTTCGTAGGACTATGTATACATGATAGGTACTAATGCACTTTTAGGTTAGTAGCAATAGTATTTAAGATTTCTTAATTATTTACATTTAATTTTTTGATGTGTGAATAAAATAATCAAAATAATTTATTGAATTACTGCACTATGCCTTATTTCTAGTAGGAACTATGGAAAATAAATAAATGGTTGCACTGGTGTTTTCAAGAAACTAATTTGAAATTATTATTATATTAACATGAGATTGTATTATGTAGAGCACTTTTAAATTTCAAGGCTGTGCAAGTTCCAGAACACCAAGTTCATAAGCATCACCTTCAACATCAGTGCTCCTACAGAGCTCTGCCCAAAGTTGCTTCTCTATGAAAGCTTGTGACTGAATGTTTCATTGCATAATACGACAAATCTTTTGAACTGCAGTCTTCACTTTCCCTCATATTTCATAATTACTTACATTATTAATTTTTTCTATTTTAAAATTTCTACTTGTGTCCTAAAATCTCTACACCTCACCCTCACTTGTGTCTCCTTTCAAGACTTTTTTGGGAGATAAACACATTGAAAATAAAAAAAAATAAATAAAGTCAAGCCTTTCTATTTTGGCCTTTAAGTAGTATATTTTTCTCATTGCATCAGAAATATAATGCTTATTTTTTCATAACCTTTTTTGGTTGAAAACTCTTCTGATACTTTATTTTATAGGTTATTTCCTATGATAGAAAAGGAAAGCTTAGGGACAAAAAGCACTAGTTTTAGAGTTCTTCATTGTAGAGATCCAACAGTCAGCTGGATAACAAGTAATAAGTTATTTGTTTCAAAAGATAAATTCTAGCAAACACTAGAAATGAACTTCTGTGGCATTTATATAATTCTCCTTGTCATAACTTACCCTTCAAGTATCTTTAAATTCAAATTGACCTGCATCCTTATGTGATAGTTCTCAATGCCATTTTTCAAACCCTTGCTTAATGTTTCTTGAAAAACATGAATTAAAAGTCCTATATATACAGGATATGCTATACTTTCAGTAGTACAGTAGGTTCAAATTTTGAATTCATGAAATGTCAAAACAGTTTATATATTTAAGATATAACTTTTATATCTCCTTTGAAATTTAGACTAATGACCCCGGTTCATGTGCCTGATCTTTTATGATTTATAAATAAGTTATTCTCAAATAACTTTGGTTATAGTAGCTGTGAAATGCAATTCTAATATAACTAATATTTGTTAACCTGAATTCCTTAGTGTCTACAAAAGCATTCTGTTATTTTGTGGATAGTAACTAATCCAGTTTATAAGGAAAATAGTACTTACCTCGAAGAACAAATAGTCTACTGATCTATTAACTGATATTTTGTAAACTTCAGAAAAAGCCCTTAAACAGTTTTTAAATTATAGGTGAGTCTAGATCTGTAGTTTGTATCAGATTATTCATCATCTTCTCTTGATAGAATGATAGCTATAATTCATTATTATTTTGCCCTCAAAGGGAAAGAGGATTCCTAAGTTTTTTATTCATGCAATGATACAAAATGGCTTTCTAAACCATACATTTTAAATCCATCTTTCTTCATTTTTATAAACCTATTTTATTGTAGTCAGTCAGTTAGAAACACCTTTTTTTTTATAGTTGTCAATTCCCCAGGGCTAAAGAATAGGATATCACCTTGATTTTACCCTTTAGAAAGGAAATTTCCCCTATTTTACAAATGATGCTTCAATTAAGGACTTTATTAAAAATTATTCTTATATTCTTGATTACTATTGAAGCTTGCCATTTTTGAAAAAGAAAGTATCGGATGAAATAACTTATGCTGAAGATACTGCTAATTCAATTGCGCTTCTGGGTAAGTTAAGATTTCCTTAAGATAGAGGGAAATGTCTAATTTAGCTATGTTTCACTAAGTACTTATTCTCTGTATCTAGCTTCTTCTCTTATTTTCTAGTTGGGAATTAATCATAGTGTGCTTGATAATTCTGGAATTATTTTCTACTCAGATATTTCATGATAACAATAAGAATATATGTTCCTTAAGTGCAGAGAATGGCAGACACCTCTTTGCACTTATCTGACTTGGTATTATTTAGTTTGATGCAATGTTTGTTAACTTTTCTTGTAAACCAGAAAGTTTACATATCCCTCTTTCAGTAATCACAAAAATGTTTTAAACTTTGAACACTAATACTTAATTGCTAGAATCATTCAGTGTTTAAGTATTCGTTAAATGATCTAAAATTCTAAATAAAATCATAAAATGGTAGAACATTACGAACTTTACTATAATATACATAAAGATGCAGATACCTCTATTTTGTACATAAAAATAGGAAAAATATCATAAAGAGTAGGCATTTATATCTGGGTTATTGCTTCATTTTCTAGATAAAGAAAATAATTTCCTAGGAAATGAAATCAGTGAAACACGAGGTCTTTGAGTTAGCTCCTGAGACATGACAGCATGTTACCAAAACAAATCCTACATTATTAATTTAAGTCTTTATTTGCATAGGAGAAATAAAAGATATGTGATTGTCTCAATAAATTTTTTAAAAAAACATTTATTGAATAATTATGTTTCCAGAATTATAATCCATACAGAAAAATGTTAGAGATTCAACTGGAATGAGTAAAAAAGGATTTTTATTTTTAACATAGAAACTAACCCTTTTATATCTAAGTAAATGTTATAGTCTTTAATTGTAGTTACTTTAGACAAACTACCTAGAGTCTATCTATTCTATGGCCTAGAGTAGGTGAAGGTATCGTGGAGATTAGATTAAATATGGATAGAGAACACCTTAGGAAGCAGGCAGATTGAGAAATAGTGAGAAATTTTAATTCTGTGATGATAGAAATTTTAATTCTATCAGTGGAAATTTATAGTGAGAAGCCAACTCAAAAGAGCACATGTTAGTATTAACAGATAAAAAGTATAGGTTTTGTTGGTAACATTATTTTAAAAATGCCCTCGTTGCCCTTATTATTTTAAAATGTTGCCTCTGAGTGTTGGATGATATTTGTATTATAAATACATGGTCCATTTCTTACTGTCCACCTGCTTTTTGCTTAAGATTGGTCACCTGTCTACAGAACACGTTATTGTCTTATTTGAGGGTAGTATGAATTCTTAGCTTTAAATGAGCTTCCTTCACTAATTACTGACTGCAAGTATTGCTTTTCTAGCCCTTATTTTTTTAATTGCTAGAAACATGAGTTTAAACTAAAATAATTGTATGTAGGATGCAGTGTTAAACAAAGGCTATTCATAATTTTTACTAATAACTTCCAATTTCTACTATACTAGTAAGTTATAGTACATTTTCTTCCAAATAATACATAGATATTTCTAACTGAAGAGCAGGATTCTGGGAGTGGATTAAGGAAGAAGTTGATACTCTGCCCCAAGATTATGAAACAGGAAATTATGAGATAATATCCAAATTTACAGGGAATAAAAGGGTGGAGAACCAGATAAGAAACTCTAGAATTTCCCATAAACCTGAATATTTGGGTAGTTTTATTAGAAATTTGCAGTTGTACTTGTTGCCCAAAGCTTTTTAAATCCTAGTGATTCTCCAACTCCAAAAGAAGGGTCCAAAAATAAAATTAAATTAAGAGTTACAATAATCTTGAAACTGTCTTTTGCAGACAGATTTTCCTAAAGCAAAGGTCAGGCTTTTCTTTGTGCTTCTTACTTTTGTCCACTTGTTTCCCTACTTACTGACCACCTCCAGAGATGAACATTATGCAAGGCCTAAATGCAAAGGAGGAATACCGAATTATTCTTTTACCCTCAGAGAATCCAGCCAGATCTGGTTCAGTCCTAAAGCTGATGCTACTGACTGCAGATGTCCTCAGGCATCCAGAGAATTTGGATCATTTCCAGAGTCTCACAAATCATTTTCAGATTTCACTGGGAATCAACACTTGTAGAACTTCAACAGAGTAAATGCAATCCAGTTTGAAATAAAAGCTAAAGCCAGTTCCGTGGTAGTTTAAATATGACTGAAAAGGAACGAATCCTTTCTATTCCCCAACCTTACCTAGATAACTTCAACATAAAAGTATTACATTTGCCCATAGGACAGACTGTCTTAAAACCACACTCCTATTCAGTCTGCCAGCAAATTGGAGAGCAAAGCTCACCTGGAACTTCTTGAAGCAAAGAATGTATTATTAAAGACAACAAATTACTGACTTTCTAGTTAGTGAGAAAAATACTAACCCATATCTTGCCAAAATAATAATGGTATCTAACATGTGTAGAACACTATATGCTAGACACTGTTCTCAGCCTTTTTCTTCTATTAACTCATTTAATCCTCACAACGATCCTAAATGTAGTAAATATTATTATACCTTTTATATAGATGAAAAAACTAAAACACAAGTGTGCATAGGTAGTAAATGACAGAGCCAGGATTTAATCAGACAGTCTGGTTCTAGCATTTATGTTATTAATCACTATTTTCTTCTTAGGAAAAAAAAGGCTGAATTGATTGAAGGGCCAAATATGTAAGGATAGGTCCAAGGTATTGTGTAGGTATATGTATATATGCATATATATGCAAATATATATAATTATAATCCAGTTTGAATCTCTGAGAATATTTTTAATAATCATCATGTTATTAATATTTATGCTTAAATTTGAAAGTAAGCTTATGGTAGTGTTATTAAATAGCACTCCTTTATCTTTCTGGCAGGTGACTTAATGAAAATACCAAATTCTGAATTGAGGATACAAATTTGTAAGTGTATTGTTGACTTTTATCATGCAGAACCACCAAAGAAGCATATTCCAGGTAAAGTTTGCAGTGGTCCTTCATTAATACCCTGTGTATTAAGAAGACAGAATATTCTGTCTCATTTCTCTTTGAATTTGAAAGACACAGTAGGCTTATAACTGTAACACATTAAAAATAAAACTTTTTTTTGTAATCTTGAGCTCTTCAGTCATCCTAAAAAATTTGTATATACATTTCTTTCAGTTTTATATTTGCATATTTTTATTCTGATACTAGATATTTATGATACAATTTATAAAGTCACACCCAAATTAGTTTAATTTATAATTATTACCATTCATTACTCTTATTTAGTACTTTTGATAAATTATTTATTTTTTAAAATTATTTTTCTAATGTATTTTATATTTATTCATAATTTCTGTCCAACCCAATTAGATGTTAAATTACTAATGCTGGTGCCATTCTTCATCATGTTTAGGAAAAGAGTTCTGTACATTACAGTTCAGAGATCTTAATATATAATGGTAGAGTGGACCTCACTGAAATGGGTGATATCAAAACAGGGGGCACTTGCACTGTGACAGTATAATGTTAAGACATACTTCATATCTTCATAGTTTCTGTAATTTATAATCAATCTAGGAAGTGAGAGAAGATATAAATAATATTTTTAAAGTTATATGTTCCTTAATATAGGTGGACATAATCTGTGGTAGTTCAAAGAAAGATTATTTATGACTATGGAAAAGTGGGAAGACATCTGAACTAGAGAAATGAATAAGAAGATTATTAAATATCAAATTTGAACTTTTGATAAGATAGAATTATTTGGTAGATAATAGACATGGATACTAAAAGCATACAGGTTTGTAATCCACCCAAATAGAGATGAAAATTGAATCCATTAGAATGGTTGCATTTTCCAGGAGATAAAGCATATAAACAGAAAGGGACCAAGAATGACATCATGGAGAGTGCCCATACTGAGAGCTGGAAAAAATGATTCAGAGAAATTAGCAGTGAAGGGAGGTTCAAAGAGGAGGAAGACCTAAAGACTGCCACATGTTTTGTGCCAATGAATGAAATGTTTGATAAAGGAGGAAGTGGTTTCAGTGTTAAATGGTGCAGAGGCTTCTGTAATTGAGGAATGAAAAGGCCAAGTTAATGTGGTATCTGAAAAGGTATAATTTTTGACAGATCTATTGACATAAAGTAGTCATTGCAGATGCAGGATTAAAGAATGAGAGGATTGTGAGAATAAAGGCAGTAGGTTTGATATTGAGGCATTAGAGGCAGTTCATGAATGCAGACTTATATTTTAAGATCAGAATGTGAAGAGAAAGGAGGAAGATGGAACACAGCTCAACTATAAAAGAAAGGGTATTAAGGTTTTGATGTTTTGGGGATAGAAAGAAATTATGTTTGTAGGCAGACAAACTAGAAGCCGGTGAGTGGGAAGTCAAAATTCTCAAAGAAAGCACAAGGGGGTGGACTTAAAAGCACACGCTTAGAGTTCACCTTGGCAGAATAACAAGCACCCTTCAAAGAATGGGAGACAAATGGTGTAAGAGTTAAGACAGAGAAATGTTACGCTGTGAAGAAGTGAGATTGACCTTAATTTGATCAAGATCTGAAAATTAGGAGTTTTAGTGCTCTCACTAACTGTCACACAGTTTCAATCGATGGGCATGGCTGGACATCTGATACCACAACTGAAAACTCCTCAGTAGAGTAGTTAAAAGAGACATAGCCCTGGAGTCAGGAATCAAGTCCATGAGCCTTACTAGTACTATATCATTCTATAGAAATGTACTCTCACTAGAAAAAGATACAGTAAGTATGAAGAACATTTTGGCCTATCCATATGATACACTATTATGCAAATAAAAAATAATGATTTTGGAAAATATTTTACACCATGGGGAGAAACTTACAATAAAAATTTTAGTGGCTATACTAGATATAAAATTATGTATATAGTGTGTTATTAAAATTGTATGCATATATTTAAAATGTCAGCAAGAAATAATACCAAAATGTTAATGTTGTTATCTATATAGATGGTAAAATTATAGGCAATTTTTGTCTTCCTCCTCATACTTTTTAAATGCCTTTTTAAATTCGTTCAGTGAGTTGCTGGGGTATACCATATGGAACTCATCACATCAATGGACAGGGCTTTATCCACAAGCAGAGATCAAATTTAGGAAGATAAGACAAACAGATAGGTATCTCAGAACTAGGTCAGAGTTAAGGAATCTAGTTGGTCTCAAAAGCCAAAAGTCAGACAGATAAGTGAGATCACTAAGAGAGAAAACAGCCTTGTCTCAAATAAACAAGTATCCTTTGGTGTTTATTTAATCCCTCTCATTGAATGTGGTTAGGTAGATACCTACATCAAAAGGAGACATAGTGTTTCTTACAGATGCTAAGGCATCTGTAAGATGTATTAACAAGACATGTCACCAAGAATCAAGCTCCCCTAAAAAAATACCATTAAATTCATTTGCATTTATCAGAGTAGCATTAGATTTTTCACCTCTTATTTCATTGTGGACACCACATTAATGTCATCTCTTAAAAGCACTGAAGTAACGCATTGACCCTTACAGTGAAACTGAATAGTGAAAACATTCAGTATGTGTAATTACACCATTTTCCTTTATGGAAAGTCACATGTACTGACAAATAAGAAATATTGTTCTTTTTTAGAATTTAAGATGTATCCCCCAAATTTGTGGTCCTATTTCAAATGCTACACCAGGATCAGCAAACTATGGACCTTAGGCCAAAATAGACCCACTGCTTTAAACAAAGTCTAGTTGGAACACAACCATGGCTATGTATTTTTATATTGTTTATGGCTGCTTTCTTGCTACAAACATCATGCTACAATGTGCTACAGAGTTAAGTAGTTGATAAGAAACCTTATAACCTACAAAACTTAACATACTGTCTGGCCCTTTACTAAAAAATTTGCCCATTCCTATGCTATACAATTCCTAAAAGCCATATTCTTTTTAAAGGTTGTTGGTTATTGCTATTGCTTAATATGATAGATAACTTACTAATTCCTTTGGTCTCAATGATCATTATGTGAGATAACTGTATATATTTATTAACTAATTGTTGTTAGGTTACCAGCAAGCTAGTTCATCATATAAGATTCAAATGGCTGAAGCTGGAGGATTGGCAAAAACAATGGTCCAGGCAATGACCTTGTTTGAAAATCAACTTGTTGAGAAACTCTGGGTACTGAAAGTTCTGCAACATCTCTCAACTTCTGGTTTGTATAATATTAAGTTTGAACACTTTATCATCAACTATATTTGTTTCCATCTAACAATGTCAATATTATAAAGCAAATAATTTTTAAAATTTATTTTCAGAAGTTAATTGTACTTTAATGATAAAAGCACAAGCAGCCAGTGAAATTTGTGCTCACCTCAATGACCCAGATCCCTCTGGACAGGTTCTATTTCGTTCATCAGAAATACTTTGGAACTTATTGGAAAAATCTTCAAAAGAAGAAATAATACAACAGCTTAGTAACTTTGAATGTTTGCTGTAAGTATATGTGGTTAGACAGGAATGTTTTTTAACCTTAAAATAATAGCCAGTGTCATAACTAATATCTTTGTTTTAATCTGTGTTCAATTAGACTTTTGATTCATGTAATGGCTATGTTTCAGGACATAATTTTTTATGCCATGATATAAATGAATCTGCACAATAACAAGTGCAGATTCTTTCTATGTGGAAGGCTTTCAAAGTTGGTTATTAAATTATGCCTTTGAATATGAAACATAAAATTAGATATTTAGAAGAATTATTTGTTCATTCAGTAAATCTATTAAGTGTTTATTCTGTTTTAGATATTGCAGTAAGCATTAGCAATAAAATGTGAGTAAGTATTCAAGTTGCTTATTCACTTATTCAATAAATAAATATTGTCTGTGCCAGGTTCAGTACTAGGCTACAGAAATACACTTGAAAATAATATAGGCATGGTCTCTATTTTCATGAAATTTAAATTATGCTAGTAGAGATAGGCAAATAAATAGACAACTAAAAGAAATTATACTAAATGTTATAAAAGAGATTAGTGGGAGATTCTACACATTTTTCAGAAGGTGAATCAGCACATTTTATTTACAAGTGACCAAAAACCTAACCCACCAGACTTAAGCAACATAGGAAATTTATGGACTTAAGTAGCAACAAAGTCAAGTGATAAAACTAGTTTCATGTACAGCTTTCTTCAAGGCTCAGCATGACTTGGTCTCTGTTCATCTCTCTGCACTGTCTTCCACTGTGTTGTTAGCTTTACCTCCAAGATCCACATAGTAAGACCTAAGAAGTCTAGGTTTACATCAAATCAAGCAGAAGAGAAGCCTTGTTATCTTGAAAGCTCAGAAAAAATTTTTGAATTGAGTCCTTGTTGGCTCTGAATGGTCTGATGTTGATCAAATGCCCATTCCAGAGTGAATCATTAATACTAATGGCAGTGGAAAGAATGCTCTGACTGGCTAAAAGGCAGCTTCACAGGACCAAAAGTCAGGGAGGAGTGAATGCCTAAATAAAAATAAGGATGCTATTAACATAAAAAGGACAAGTGGGTCACAGGGGCCAAAGCAACTAATGTCTACTGTCTACTGTAGAGGGAACTTCACCCAGAGTTGTAGAGTTAATGACTGCTTCCGAATGAACTCCAATCTAGTATCTGTGTGATAATTAGGAATTGGCTACACAGAAAAGTTTTACATGCAGAAAGCATCCTAAATAGGAAGAACAAAAGTGAAAATAGAACTTATCAAAATAAAAAAACTGAAATTCAGTATGATGAGAGCATAAAGAACAGGGTAGAACAGTCAGAGACAAGACTAACAATGTTAGCAGGGACCGTAATTTGAAATGCCTAATAAGCCTTTTAATAAGGAGGTAGGATTTTATTCTAATACCAAAAGAAGTTTTAAGTGGCTTTAAAAAGGAAAATGACATGATTGAATATTTTAAGTTGGTCACTTTAACTACCATATATAGTGTGGTTTAGTGGATTCTTGTCTAGTACATAGTGAATTAGAGGCAGATTTGTGGAAAAATTAGAAACACTTTCAAACAAGTAACAGTATAATATAAAAAGGAAGAGTTCTCTGGGGTCCCTTTTATAAGGGCACTAATTTAATCATGAGGGCTCCACCCTTATGACCTGATTACCTCCCAAAGACTATACTTCCTAATACCATCACATTAAAAACTAGGATTTCAACATATGAATTTTGATGAGACACATTAATTTCATAACAATATGATTTTTAAAATGTGATTTTACTTTCTAGGGCTTTGAAGGAAGTATTTAAAAATCTGTTTATGAGAGGTGTTAGTCATTATGACCGTCAGCTTAGAAATGATATATTAGTGATCACTACAATTATTGCTGACAATCCTGGAGCACCAATGATTGTAAGTATGAATCAAATTGCATTAGTTTTAATTGCAGAAGTGGTGGGAATGGGGGAATGGAGTATAGATTATGTTATAATATTTATGTATTTTGTTATAATTCCAAGTTATGCTATAATGTCATGATGGTCACCAGTATACTTATCACTCTGCCAGTTCTTTGCATTCCTTTGGGAGTTTGGCATCCTGCATATTTTGTGATTTATGTACATGTTTACCACATATGATGCTTTTCTTTCTTTCCTGATGATTCAGATTTCCATCTAGCATCATTTCTCTTTCCCTAGAAGAACTTCATTTACCATTTCTTATGGTGCTGATCTGCTGGCTGCTGGCAACAAATTCCCTTAGCTTTCTTTCATCTGAAAGTATCTTTAATTCATCTTAATTCTTAAAGTCTATGTTCACTGAATATAGAATTATAAGTTGAAAAAATTTTTCTTTTGGCACTTCCAAGATAATGTACCAATGTTTTCTGGCCTCCATTGTTTCTGATGAGAATTATGTGTTTTTTCAAATCATTGTTTCCTTATGTACAATGTATCATTTTTTTCTGTATGTGTTCAAGATTTTCACTCAATCTTTGGTTTTCAGCAGTTTTAATATGATGTGCCAAGGGCGATCTTTGTATTTATTCTAGTCAGGGTTCATAGAGCTTCTTGGATATATAAATTTATATCTTTATCCAGATTTGGAGAATTTTTGGCCATTAGTTCTTCTAGTATTTTTTCAGCCCCCCATTCTCTCTCCCTTCTTCTTCTGGGACTCCAATTACTTATATGTGTGACCTTTTGATATTGGCCCACACAGGTTTGTTCACTTTTATCAATTATTTTTCTCTCCATTCTTCAGATTGGATAATTTGTATTAGTCTATATATTTAAATTCACTGATCCTTTTTTAATTTCCATTCTGTTAACCCATCTAGTACATTTTTTATTTCAGATATATTTTTCAATTTTAGAATTTACTTTTGATTCCCTTTTATAGTGTCTGTTTCTCTGCTGAGAGTTGCTATCTTTCTATTCAATATTAGTGTCTTTACCGTGAATTCTGATATACTTCTCTGAAGAGCATTTTTTAATTAATACGAATTTTACTTGGCTATACAAATCCCTGTAGTGAATGGCAGCCCAAATCTCAGTTCAGTTCCTCTAGCCTGGGATGCTTGACTATTCCCTGCACTTGTGTGGTTCAGGTATCAGTCAGAGATTTAAGAAGCATTTGTACACAGAATTTGGGGTTCTCCCTCTGTGGCTCTCTCCTTTATGAGATTTCTCCCTTCACTTTCCATTTCTGTGGTTACCTTTGTCCTTTGGTTCTTCAAGCCACTAAGACCACAGGGTTATTGAGTTTTAGCATCCTGCCAAGGTGCAGAACATGACCTGCTCTCAGGCCAACAGCCATATTTTTAAAAAATGGGAAACACATAATGTCATTTCCTTCTTCAAAACCCTAACTTCCTTATAGTATCTGCTTACTCTTGGTCACAAGATAGTTTTTATATTTTGTTCAGAGTTTATAATTGTTACCAGCAGGAGGATTTATCTTATAGGATCTACTCATACATACTAGATACTTATCCTCCCCATATTTTATAATATAAAAATCATCAAATGGATGAAATCCTAGAAGAGAAATCTTTGGCAATAATCTTAACATGTCAGCCACATACTTTTCAGTTTTATTTCAAAGAAGTAGCTTTGAAAGTGTCATCCCCTATCAAGTGGTCCCAATATAGGAGTCATAGAATTCATACTGTACAAATAGGGAAACAGTCCTACATAGCATCCTAGTTAAGGGTGCAATTTGTAGGTAGACTTTCTGTTTCTCTGGAAGCCCCTGGTCAGTTAGTAAGTTCTCGTTACTATCCTTGCAAACATTGAGATGAATTTCATGAACATGAGTCAAAGGAATAACATCCTCACCATTTAAAGAAACCATATGGATCCTAATGTAGTAGGAATGTAAATCTATGAGCTCAAAAGCCCAGCAATTGCTCCTGTAAACTTTCCTAATGTGCAAAGTCCAACTAAGATATCTCTGTCAGGAATGGATTCCCTCATGCTTAAATGTTTGCAACTCTGGTCATTCTTCAGGGCTTTTCATGTGTGGCAGCAACTATTTTGTTATCACTTAGCCAAATATTTGACATAATGAGGATGATTGGGGTAGGGGGTGGGGTGTTTAAAACGAAAAACTGTTGAAAATAACTGGATTTTCCTTCCTTATTGTGTTACTTGATAGTATAGCTAATGAATTATAGAACTAACTATGAAGGACTAATATTTTTGGGGTTCTTACCAAGTTTTAAACAGTATCCTGGAAAATATTCATAGAATAATTTAAAATATTTCTTAGAACTTACAGAAGCAAGTTTAAAATTAAATAAATTGCAAGTTTATCTGGCTATATGCTCTCTTTGTTTTTGTTTGTTTGTTTGTTTGTTTGTTTTTGCTTTATCCCCATACTATTAGTGCTTTATAAATTCAAATGAATGACAATAGGGGATTTGATAAATGTACTTAAGTAGTAGGTAAATTTGGCCATCTGTATCTTAATTTCCATCTAATTAATTCATCGTTCTGCTTGTTTTGTGTGTTTCTATTAGGAATGTGGCTTTACTAAGGATTTGATACTATTTGCAACCTTTAATGAAGGTAAAAACCAGAAAACTTTAAACTTTTTATAATTATCTTGAGGAGGCCTGTACATCATTTCAGCTTTCATTTTATTCTTTTTTTTTCCCTCACAGTTAAAAGCCAAAATCCTTTGGTAAAAGGACTTAAGCTTTCTAATTCCTATGAAGATTTTGAGTTGAAGAAATTACTATTCAATATAATTGTGATCTTATGTAAAGATTTACCTACTACACAGGTAAAGAGTAATCAAAATAGGAAAATTAATAAAAATTGTCTCACTTTGCAGTATAATTTTTTTAAAGTTCTGATTGCAAATCTTTCATCAACTCATATGTTTACCATAGAAAGTAACAAACACTTACTGGCTTGAATTTTAGCTTTTAAAATTTTTCTTTGCTAATCTGTTATTAAACAATAAAATACTTAAATTTAAACCAAATAAGCCAAAGAAAAACAGGAGTGGAACTTGAGCTTTTTATTAATATATTTAGATCTCTTGAATAAGAGAACATAAAATGAAAGAAGTTCTAGATAGTCCCTTCCAGCCTAGTAGTCTGTGACCATAGTAGTATCAAGGGATAGATTTAATGCTTGAGGAAATTGCTAACCTCTGTGATGCCAACCTCAAAACCCTTATGAACCTGCTTTTTCACCACACAAACCTATTGTCTTTAATTTTTTCTTGTCTGTGAATTTACCTTAGTACTTGATTCCCTACATCACAGCATGATGTAATTTAAAGAACACTGAAACTGAATTTCACTTCTGGCTTATCACCTCCTACTAGTTATGTAGCCTTGGCAAACTTACCTTATCTTTCTGGAGTTCAGTTTCTCATTCTGTAAAAGAAAGAGTATAATACTTTGGCTTTGTATAATAAAGGCTTTGTAACCTATAAAGTGATAGAAAAATGTATTACTAATAATTCCATTAGTATAGTTACTTGCTGCAGTAAGTGAAATTTCCTTTTAGTTCTAAAACTCTTTCAAGCTCCAAAAGATTACCATGAAAAAGAAGTGGAAATTCGTTCTGTTAATATCATTACCAGTAATCTAGAGGTAGGATAGTACAGCGGTAAAGGCTTTAGTCAGGTGGTACCCCAGTGCTGTCACTTTCTAGCTATGTGACCTTGTGCAGGTTGTTTGGTTTCTCTTAAATCCCAGATAGCTCAACGTCTACCTCATGAGATCATTATGAGGATTTAAATAAGCTCAGCATCTTCTTAGTAATGCTACTTTGAAGAACATACATTTTTTGAAATGCTTAGAAAAAGAGAAAGAAATTGTCTTTACAGTTATAACTTTATTATTGTATTAAAAATATATACTATGTAGAACCTAAATGTATTTTCTGAAATGCCAAATAGAAAATCATTCCATAAAATGTGGTTTATTATTACAGTGTAGTATTAAATAACTATTAAAATGATAACTATAAAGATAATAAATAAAGTTTATGTTACAGTTTATAAATCTTGATTGAACAACATTTTATAGGCAACAGAGTCAAGTAGCACAAAGATTATGGTGAGCTTCTTAAAGCACTTTGTGGGCAATAGGATCAATAATTTTGTGATAGCATATATTGATGGCCCAGTAATAGTAGTCATAATGAATATGTACACTATCATTTGCAGTTAACTTGGTATTTTAAAAACATTCTCAATGTAATTCTCACAGTAATGCTAGAACTGATAGTTATTCCTGTTTTCTCAACTCTAAATCTTGTATTCTTTTCTTGTAGACTAGTAGACAATTTAGAAAAATTCATAATTGCTAGTGTAAAAAAGTCTTTATAGAATAATGCCAAATTAAAAGAAAATTAAACATAATATAGCACATGGTGTTTGATTCCCTTGTGAACCATAAATATACATCAATCAGAATTAGCTATAATATCCTGTTGTCATCATAGCTATACATTTTATCTTATTTTTATTGAAATGATGGATTTAATAAAATTTTAAAATACTAGACAAATAATTAAACATGATCTGTGACCTGACATTTATTTGATGGAATGTTTGTAAGTTCTGTTGTGTGTGATTAAATATTTGTTGCTATCGTTACTTCAGACAAAATTGTTTTCTATAGTACAAAACTGAGTCTGTGAGATGTTTGCTTTTTTAAAAGTAAGGAAAATAAATGCCGGTACTTTATTTATCCCAAATTTTCTGCTCCTATGGTTTCATTGTAAACAGGAGCTAAATTACATATATGAGCAGCATAAACAAAAAATTAATGTATATTTTATATTGTCAGCTAGAGAGTGCATACCTCAGAAAAGAGGGTCATAACTAACTGTTATTTTTATATAATTTTTTGTTTTTGTTTTTGTTTTTTGTGGGGTTTTTGATACCCATCAGAGATTGGAGATATTTAAGAAGGAAATATTTTGAAATTATCAATAAAACTTCAAAATATAAATCTTTTATTTAACTTCTTAGATTAAATAATTTTAATTATGTTTCTAACAGAATATCTTTTGCCCTTTCTCGTAGCTATTAATTGAGGGCAAAGTTGTTTTGGCTTTGTTTACCTATGTTAAAAAGCCTGAGAAACACAAAGCAGTTGAATGGTCTTCAGCACAGTATGAAGAATTACAGCTGCATGCAATTGCCACTTTGTCATCAGTGGCTCCTCTATTAATAGAAGAATATATGTTATGCCAAGGAAATGCTCGAGTTCTTGCATTTCTGGAATGGTGTGAGAGTGAAGGTGAGTGGCCCTTCAAGATTTTTGTCAAAATTCTAATTTTTTATTTCAACTGAACTCTCAATATATGCATAGAAAGGGCAATAAAATTAATTAAAGAGAAATTTTAAAATGTAGATTTGTCTTTTAATATATTTATATGTTTTAAGAAAAAACAGATTTCATTTAAAGTAAGATGTTAATAGTAAATGTTATAACCATAGTTGATGCACACCTAAAATAAATCATACATATAATCTGATTTAATTTTTTGTATTATTAGTCCTAGCCAAAAATTATATTTAGGAAGGAAATAAATCATAGTAATGTTTTAATGCATTAATTCATCAAATATTTATTGAATACCTACTATATACTAGATACTGTTTTGGCTGCCTAAAATACATTTATGCTTAAAATAAATAAAAATCATTACCCATATAGAACTTAAAATCTAGATCTCTAGCCAGAAGTAAAGGCTCCACATATACTCTACATGTAGTCTATCAAATTAGCATAGTCCCAATTTGTATTGTATTTTATTTTGGTTCTTAAAAAGGAAATAAGAAATACATTCATGTTTTTAAAAATGTTATAAGAAAGAAAATGCTTTTTTTTTCTGGTAGTAATTTTGCTCTGGAAGTAATTTTGTATGACACATTTTCATTAGATCAAGAATATCACTCATTTATCCATGGGAGAGGAAAAAAATATATAGCCTTTTAGTTCTCTAGTTTCTAATATGTCGAGCTACTAAATTTAGTCTTGTTAAATTATTTCCCATTAAATAAGACAATTTTTCTGTCTACCCTTTATATTATTTATGTTTATAGAAGACTGTAAGACAAGATAAAATGCTACCTAACAAGAGGAAGACTGATAGCTAAAAGTTATTGAGAACTTACCATATGGTAGTCCTTAAACACCTTACAACTATTAATTCATTTAGTCCTCCCAACAAACCTAGGAAGTATAGGTACTATTATTATACCTGTTTGTCAGATGGGTGGAACTCAATCTGAGAAGCTACATGACTTGTTTCTCTCCAGAAATGGAAGAGTAAGGATTTAATCCAGGCTTCAGAAAACCACATATTTAACCAACATATGCAATACTCAGAACAGTATTTTAAACTTTTTTTTTTAGCTTGAAACTTAAAGCTACTTCTAAAATAACCTTTTAAAGAAAATACTATAAAGAAGAGAAGACTTGCCTTGTTATTTATAAAGACCTACCATAAGGCTATAGTAATTAAAATTATGTGGTACTGAGTCAGGGACTAGACCAATTGCATGGAATATATGAGAGGTTGACATTATCAGAGATGATATTGCCAATCAGTGGAAGAAAGATAGTGCTGGGGCAGTTGGCTTTTACTTTTTCCATGTGAAAAAGTAAAAATGAGATCCTTTCACTGTGTTAAAAAATTCACCAAAAATAAAAAAATAAAAAAAAAAAAAATTCAATTGCAAAATAAATGAAAGACCTAAGTATGAAAAGTTAAACTGTGAAACTTTTAGAAGAAAACATGGAAAAAATCTCCATGATAGCTAACAGAGTAGGAAAAGATTTCTTTAAAAAGACTCAAGAGCTTAAGCTATATAAGAAAAGATCGATGCACTTAACTGCTATAAAACATATAAATGTCTGTATGACAAAATTGGAATGAAATACTAATATACAAATTGAGAGAAGACAATTACTACCCCTGTGACTGATAAAGGATTAAATTCCAGGTTCATAAAGAACTCCTACATATCCACAAGAAATAACTCAGTAGAGAAGTGTACAAAGAGTAGGGACTGCTGCATCACAAAAACCCAAAAACATTTAAAAACACTTAATCACATTGGTAATTAGGGAAATGCAAATTTTAAGATAACAATGAACTACCATTTCACATTTAACAAATTTGGGGGGAAAATTCAATTAGTCTTACTGGTTTTATATGGGAAACAACTTGGCAACTTTAGTAAAATTCAGTGTGATTTTACTATATGATTCCAGTGTTACCTAGAGAACACGAGCCAAAATGTTAATTATAACAGTTTATACTAGTAAAGGATAAAGTATGATTCATTTATAAAAATGAATGCTAAAGCTACTGAAATGAATAATCTAGATCTACTTGAGACAAGGTAAATTTTAAAAACAATGTTGAGTAACAGAAGCAAGTTGCAAAAGATATAATGTGATACAAATGTAATGTTTTAAAACACATATTCTGTTCTGGGACTAGAAGGAGGAAGGGGGAGGGATATATTTTATTTCTTTAAAAAAAAACTAAACAAATTTGACAAAATTTTAACATCTGTTTAAATGTGTAGATATATAAGATATTTGATATTTTGTTTATTTGAAATGTTTTTGTTTTAAATTTCTTGATTAAAGTAAATTATTGATTTTTCTTCACAGATCCTTTCTTTAGTCATGGTAACAGTTTTCATGGTACAGGTGGCCGTGGCAACAAATTTGCACAGATGCGTTACAGTTTAAGACTTCTGAGAGCCATGGTCTACCTTGAAGATGAGATTCTAAACACAGATCTTTGTGAAAAGGGAGCAATTCAGCAAATGATAGGTAAAATATAACATGGTAGTTTACTGATGAAAGGAGGATATTTATATTATAGATATTATATAGATGACATAATACTATAGATTTTGTTTGAAATATTTTTCTACAAATTTATGTTGTCTTTTTTTTTTAAGCAATGGAGTCTTGCCATATTGCTCAGGCTGGTCTCAAACTCCTGGCCTCAAGCAATCCTTCCGCCTCAACCTCCCAAAGTGCTGGGATTACAGGTGTAAGCCACCATGCTCAGCCTTATCTTATCTTTATGGCTGAGAAACTCCTGAATATTTTCTTGATTTTTATTTCATATTGGAACAAACATCATAATCATTAATCCTTTAAACATTTATTTCCTTAATTCAGATGCCATTTCATTTAGAATTATCTTTATATTTTTTTAAATTGGCTATTGCTGTGTTTCCTTCTTTTAGTAATAAGATCACCACTTTTGGCCAAGGCTTTTGGAGCCATTTTAAAAGAGGATAACATTACATTTTCCAATGCATTTGGCATACCAGGACACTTGTATATACAGAAATGTACAGAGGAGTTTCTTTTCTATATGAAATATTCTATGCTAAATCACCTTATCCCCTAAAATAAGTACATTTAATCCCAGTGTAAAATTCAGAGCCCCTAAATAAAAGCTGCTTTACCTTTTATTTAAAAAATAAATAGTCCCCCAGCCCTCACCTTTTCTCAACTCTGAAAAGAGCTGTAATATTTCAGTCACTCATAGCCAGTGATTGCTGCATGAGTAAATGATATAATGTGCTAAATGTCAGTTGGTTATAAATACCTATTCAAAAATTCTTCTATCTGTTAAATTAAAGTGCGTACTTTTCTATCATTTGTGGAGTGTAGTGATAGCCTCCTATAATAATAATACTGGTAAGGAAAAAAAAGTATATTGAAAAGGGAGCTGGGCAAAAACATTTACCTTCTTACTGAGTTTGCTTAGGATGACCAAGACTGAAACTGTATTTTATCACTCCTGTACATATTCCATTGCACAAAACTCAGTCTTAAGGCTCCAGCCTAACTGGAGGAAGTCCTAGAAATATAATCTTCTTCCGTAAGTCTGAGAAGAAATCTTAATCCTACCTGGGCTGGGGGAGTAGGGTAGGGAAAAGAGAAAACAAATAGCATGGTTCTTCTCTTCTTAGAACTTTTCCCCTTTAACCAGAATAAAAGCTGATCTGTTTATCATGTTGAGTTCGTGGAGACAATGACTTTATCTCACTCAACCTGACACAGTTTTGTAGCAGTAACATGCTCAATGAGCAGTAATTACATTTTAAACATAAATATTTATACATTTTCTATGTAGGCACTGGGGTTACAAATATGTATAGGGCAGGACACTGGGGACCTTGCCCTTGATGAGAACAAAAGAATATCGTAGAAAGACAGCATATGTTACCCTGCACCATCAGTCAGGTACTTAATGACTAGTACAGAGAATAAATGTTACAGAAACTTAAGAAGCGTGGGTAGTTTTTAAGGCTGGGCAGTCTTAATAGGATCCTGTGAGGGAAAAGGCAGTTTCAAGAGGGGAAAAAAGGAAGGGATGGCCTTTCAAGTAAGGGGATAACATGAACAGAGACATGGTGCTGATATATGCACGATGATGTGTTCAGAGCTAGTTTAAGTGAAGCAAAAGTTTTATGAAGACAAATGATACGAAATAGGTTCAACTATACAGTCAGAAGCCGAGCTGGAGAGTTTTGAGTAATAGACAACAGTTTGAACTTCATCCTCTTTAGACACGGAGAGCCACAAAGGGTTTTGATCAGTGAGGTCATGTGTCCAATGTTGTGTTTTAGGAAGAAGAATCTTGAGGAAATAGAGTGATTCAGAGTAGAATAAGGAGAAAGGGTAAAGGCAGGGAATTAAAGGGTACTTAAAAATGGAGGAAATAATTCAGTATTAACTTACTGTGTGTTCCAGACAGCAGGGAAATTTATATGCCTACACCCAGGTAGGAAGCAGAATGAGATAATCTAGAAAGGAAAAGCAAACCTGTGACTAGCAGGTTGGATTCCTAGAAGATGCTCCTGATAAAGGAACATAGGCCCCTCTGTCCATGGAGTGCCCCTTCACTGGGCCTGCAGCAGGCTTAACTAGCCTCCCTAGGGTCTGATCCCCCACCTGTGATTCATCCTAATGGGACCAAGAATAGTCCCTCAGGGCCAGGCTGTGATTTCCATGACCCTTCTACTTTGGAACAGAGCTTCATACTTTCCTGCTAATGTCAGTGATGCCTTTAACAGAGAGAGAGAGAGAGAGAAAAAAAAAAGACTTTTCTTTCTCATTTAAAGCTTAAAGGAAAATTCTTTTTTGAAGCAAAATTTTATCATGAATATCATTTCATCAGTGTTTGTGGCTGTTTGCAAGTCCTTTTCAATTTTGATTAGAAGCAAGGGAGGGATTTTAAAGGATGGAATGCTGTTACCTAAGATTGTTGAAGACACCTTCGGGTAGACAGAACAAGAAGATGAAGAAAGAAACAACAGCAATAGAACACATACTAGAGAGGTCTTCCACCTTTGCTTAAAATTGACCCTGTTAACTCTGAGGAGAAGAAGGGATGAGGTAAACTACAGTCAGGCATTTTGGTCATATATTTGCAAAGGCACTCATCTCTCATGAAACTGCATATTTTTAAACATAATTTGCTGGGCAAAGTATTAGGTTGTTAGGACACCTTCTTATGATACTCCATTAATTCTGTGCTAGAATTTCTACATATGTGAGACTACTGATTGTTTTTGTTTTTTTGGCCGGAGACTCAGCTTTTATTTATGGCAGGGCCACACTCACGCATGCACTCACACACACACATGCTCATCAGGCTTCAGATCTTGTTGAAAGCTGCGATGTCAACACTCTGCACATGCTCTTCAAACTTGGTGATCTCTTCGGGACTACTGATTGTATTGAGAAATTCTATATATGTGGGCTACTGATTGTATTGAAAGATCAAGGAATCCATTTGTCATCCTCTGTCCATAGCTTCTAGGTTACTATACAAATGAAAATATCCCCTTCTAAAATAATCTCTCTAGCTGAAGAAATTTTTAGAAGGAATTTCCAAATAGTAACTGATCAAAATAAAAAATGTCCAATAACTTTACATTCTTTAAATTTTTTCATACCAGGAATCTTTAAAAATATAATAAGCAAGCCTAATGAAAACGAAGAGGCCATTGTTTTGGAAATCCAGTCTGATATATTGCTTATTTTATCGAGTCTTTGTGAACTTCATATTCAAAGGAAGGTATGTATGCTTGTGAAAGTTTTGTTCAGATCTCCTAGTTACCTAACACTATAAACTGTTATAAAACTGTTACTGTTTTTAGTAAGTGCCCATAATTTTTTTATCTTGTGAAAATTTAATTTAATTTTTTATTAGAGTATGATTATATATAGTAAAAAGTACAGATTTTAAATATATAGTTTGATAGGTTTTGATGAATGTATACACCCATTAACTAATACCCCAGTTAAAACAGAATATTGCCTCACTCTAGCCTGGGCAACAAAGCAAGACTCTGTTTCAAAAAACAGAATATTGCCATCTTGCTAAAATGTCCTCATTGCCTTAGCAGCCATCCCCCTATCCACCTCCAGGCAAACCGCTATTTTTTTTTCTATTTCTATAGATTGGTTTTGCCTATCCTTTAATTTTATATGAATGAAATCACCTAGTATTTATGTTTATGTCTGGTTTCTGTCATCCTAGCATCATAGTTCTGAAATATATCTATATTGTTGCATGTATCAATAGTTCCTTGCTTTTTATTGCTGACTAGTATTCCATTGTATGAATATACCAAAATTTGTTTATCCATTCTTCTATTGATAGGCACTTGGGTTGTTTCCATTTGAGACTATTATGAATAAAGCTTCAGTGAACCTTCTTGTACTAGTCTTTTTGTGGATATAATGCATTCATTTCTATTGGGTAAATACCTAGGAGTGGAATTGATGTATCATAAAGTAGGTGTATATTTATTTTTATAAGGAACTACCAGTCTTCCAAAGTGGGCTCTATCATTGCAAATACTATTTGGGGTTTGAGTTGGGTTCATACCTAAAACTAAACATTAGAACAAGTCCTTAGTTCCCTTCAATCTTTTTTAGTTCCATGGTAACCTCCGAGTCTCAGAGATTGATAATTTAAATATTTAATAGCAAGAGATGGAATTGGAAAGATAAAAACCAAAAATGAAAGTTTCAATAGATAGATTTTTATAGGAGGCAACAGGAACAGTGAATACATGCTTAGCACCAAACTTCAGTACAACTTCTAATATTCTCCCATCCTGTGCCTGTGCTCTTCTGGAAAAATAATCATAATCTTGCTTACTGTGAACCAGAACTGAGCAAGACAATGAGAACTATAGTTGGTAAGAGGAAAATATTAAATGGTAATAACTTCATATAAATTATTGAAGGTTTTACCTACCAGTTTTATATGTATTTCTCTCTTGGGATTATCAGAAAATCATCCACGATAGTTATTACTATCTAGTATTGATCTGATGTGGTACTAGACTGTATTTATTATAATATGAGACAAAATCATGGGGCAAGTTATCTGGTTTTTTCTAAAAAAAAAAAAAAAAGGAGAGAGAAAGGGAAAAAGCAAAATTGAAAGAGACATTAAGCTGGCATGTTGATTGCCACCCTCTCTTAAAATGATTAGCTTTACAATGATTTGTTTTAAATTCCTGAGAACAAGTATGATTTTTTTAATTGCATTAGAAATACTATTTTAGGAAAGATTTTCCTAAAATGTTGTATTTCTGTGATAAATAATTTTAGGGGACAAGATAAGGTGGGGAAGAAGGAGATTATTTATTTCAAGAAATAATTTTAAACAAATCTCTTAAACAGGAAATTTTTGGAACTGAAGGAGTAGATATAGTTCTTCATGTAATGAAAACAGACCCAAAGAAGTTACAGAGTGGCTTAGGCCATAATGTACTTCTTTTTAGTACATTGGACAGCATTTGGTAAGTATTACTATAACCAAGTTAGGTAGAATCATAGTACAGTCATGTGTCACTTAACAAAAACAGGAATATATTCTGAGAAACATGTCCTGAGGTGATTTCATCTTGTGCAAACATCATAAAGTGCATTTACACAAACCTAGATGGTATGGCCTACTACACACGTAGGCTAGATGGAACAGCCTATTGCTCCTAGTCTACAAACCTGTACAGAACGTTACTGTACTGAATACTCTAGGCAATGGTATAACACAGTGATAAGTATCTGTGTATCTAAACATATTTAAACATAGAAAAGCTACAGTAAAAAATATGGTATAAAGGGTAAAAAAGAGTATACCTGTGTAGGGCACTTACCATGATGGAACTTGCAGGACTGGAGGTTGTTCTGGGTAATTCAATGAGTGAATGGTGAGAAAATGTGAAAGTTGAGAACATTGCTATATACTACCGTAGACTTTATATAGAAGTCTACACTACTGTAGACATTACTTTATACTACTGTAGACTTTATAAACACTGTACACTTAGGCTACACTAAATTTATTTTTAAAATATTTTTCTTTCTTTAATAATAAATTAACCTTGGCTTACTGTAACTTTTAGATTCATAGACATTTTAATTTTTTTTAATTTTTGGCTTTTTGTAATAACATTTAGCTTAATACTAAGTGTACATTGTACAGTTGTACAAAAATATTTTACTTCTTTATATCCTTATTCTATAAGCTTTTTTCTATTTTTAGAAAGTTTAAATTGTTTTTACTTTCTAAACTTTTTTTTGTTAAAATCTAAGACACAAACGCACACATTAGCCTAGGCGTCTACAGGGTTAGGATCATCAAGATATCACTGGATGACAAGAAGTTTTCAGCTCTATTATTGTATAACCCTCCAGGACCACAGTTGTATGTGCAGTCGATTATTGACCAAAACATCATATGTCATTATGTGACCCATGACTGTATGAGAAAATTATTAATACTCTGTAGCTATGGATGCCAGTTTTCTTCCCTCAAAACCATATCAGAAACATAACTCTTCTCTATGGCTTTCTCTTTTAGATAGTCCAAAAGTGACACTCAGCAGTGTCCTTTGGAAAATAATTTTGTCCATCACTCAAATACAAATCCACTTATATCTAAACTTAAATCCCTGGTCTAAGAAAAACACAAGTACCTACTATTGCTCATACAGTATTATTCTTATACTAAAAGACTATTGAATTCCTCATTCATCTTCTCTTCAAGGAGGTGAAAACCAATTGATTAGACATTTCCTAATCGATATTATTTCACAAACATTTTTTAACATTCCTAATAGCAAAAAATACTGCTTTTCTTAAGCATTAATTGATCATATTTTGTCTTGGAGAAAATTACTTAACTCCCTTATATCATTAAACTTAACATATTTCTTTTTTATATTTGGCTCAAATTTATGAGAGACATACTGTGACACATTTAGTAACAAAAGTTGGATGAATGTTGCTTTCCGTAAGATCAAGTAATAACTAGGTTTACCTGCTGCAAGTTCTCTCTATAGAGAGCTAGACTTCTCAGCTCCCATCCGAATACACATAGACAGTGAACCTAATTAGCTACCTAGTTTGCTTTTACTATAAAGAAGAGAGGCATACAGTGATAATATGATCTTTTTTAAGTTTCAACAGCAAATTATTTTGACCAAAGCACTGTATTAAGCATAATTTTAAAATTCAGAGAAGAGTATTGATGAATAACCACCCTTACTATTGAGCAATATATTGGGATTCAAAGGGATTCAGAAAATGTCTTGATGTTTCCTAATCCCTTCTTTATTTAACAAATCTCAGTTATACCACAATAAAATTAATAGATTAATGATTTTATTTATTTGTGTGTTTTATTGTAATACAATTTTAAATCCTTTAGATAAAAGATAAAGTAGCTGTAACAAGTAAATGAAGCGTAAGTCATTTTATCTCTATTGACACCAAATGGATACTTTATAATATTTCAGTTTAGTACAGGAAATACCTTTAACAGATGTCAGAGTAGAGTTCCTCTTCTTTTTATTTATTTATTTATTTTTTTGAGACAGAGTCTCACTTTGTTGTCCCAGCTAGAGGGCCATGGTGTCAGCCTAGCTCACAGCAACCTCAAACTCTTGGGCTCAAGCAATCCTTCTGCCTCAGCCTCCCAAGTAGCTGGGACTACAGGCATGCACCACCATGCCTAGCTAATTTTTTCTATATATATATAGACATATATATATATATTTTTTTGAGACAGAGTCTCATTTTGTTGCCCAGGCTAGAGTGAGTGCTGTGGCATCAGCCTAGCTCACAGCAACCTCAAACTCCTGGGCTCAAGTGATCCTACTGCCTTAGCCTCCCGAGTAGCTGGGACTACAGGCATGCACCACCATGCCTGGCTAATTTTTTGTATATATATATATTGGCCAATTAATTTCTTTCTACTTTTAGTAGAGATAGAGATAGGGTCTCACTCAGGCTGGTTTCGAACTCCTGACCTCGAGCAATCTGCCAGCCTCAGCCTCCCAGAGTGCTAGGATTACAGGCGTGAGCCACCACACCCGGCCTTTTCTATATATTTTTAGATGTCTAGTTAACTTCTTTCTATTTTTGGTAGAGACAGGGTCTTGCTCTTGTTCAGGCTGGTCTTGAACTCCTGAGCTCAAATGATGCACCTGCTTGGCCTCCCAGAGTGCTAGGATTACAGGTGTGAGCCACTGTGCTCGGCCTAGAGTTCCTCTCTTATTCCTTATTTGCTTTAAAATATATAAAAACATCATAGAGCATTCAGAATTACTATTGAACACATAAAAGTTAACTGGAAATATTATCTACTTGTCATCTTTTTGGGGTCTGGTAAGTAACATAATTATTTTGTAGTCATTACGTATAATTAGTCCAGGTTTATCACTTACATTCTTATAGTTTGGCTTGTGTTTTTTTAACTGTGTTTTCCAAATATTTTTCTCTTTAATGTGCATGTCATCCTTTACATAGATTATAGCACATTGTCACAAAATTGTCACAAAAATACCCATGCAACCACCATCCTCATTAGGATATATAATATACTAGCATGCCTGAAGGCTTCCTCACCACCATCCATCTCAATTTCCCCTCCTATTCCCCAAATGTAACCATCCTGATTTCTAATACCATAGATTTAGTTTTGCCTGTTTTTTAATTAGTGAAATCACATAAGAAATATTCTTTTGTGTCTGACTTCTTTTTCATGTTTGTTAAGTATAACATTAGTTTGCTTATTAGTTTCCATTGCTATGTAGTATTCCATTAAATGAATATACCACAATTTATCGATTCTATCGATGGACCTCTAGAGTTTGTTTTTTAGCTTGTGGCAGTTTGACTAATATTGTAACAAGTATTTTTATGCATATACTTTATTACATATGTATACATATCTCTGTCAAGTTCATATTTAGATGTAAAAATGCCAGATCACTGAATATCTATTCAGCTTTAGTGGATAACATAAAAATTTTTTCCAATGTAGTTATATCAGTTACACCTTTCCAGTAGCGTGGAAAATCCAGTAGATTTTTCTTTGTTCCCTTATCAATACATTTCATTGTGAGTATTTTTGATTGCAGCCATTCATGTGGACTTGTATCATTGTCTCACTGTAGTTTTAATTTTCGTATTCTTGATTACTAATGAGTTTATTTGCCATTTGAAAAGTCTCTTTTTTGTGAAGTGCCTATTCAAGTCTCTTGCTCACTTTTTTATTGAATTGATTGCATGTCTTTTTTAATGGAATTTTTCATATATCTTAGACATGATTCCTTTTCTGTTATTTGTTAGTGAAACATATTCTGTGACTCCAAGGCTTGCTTTTTTCACTCTCTTCACTCTTTTTTTGTTGAACCAATAGTCTTAATTTTAATGTGGTCCAATTTATCAATCTTTTCAAGAAGGAGCTATGTTTAAGAAAGGGACACAGGAGGCTGGCCTTAGCAGGGTTACAATGCCTGGGAGGAACAAAGATTAGCCTCTGTTATTGTTGATCATTACCACCAGCAATAGCTTGTTTAGCCTGGGAAAACAGTATAAGTAGTCCTGGCAGCAACTTCAATTTCCTTACTCCATATGAGCTACACAGGCCTAAGCAGGCACTTTAGCAAATAATCTCAATTGAAAAAATGAGATGTAATCAAGAATTATCAAATATTTGAGGTGTGCCAATACCATGAAAGAGAGACAATAAATGGATGAACTTTGAAGAAATAGTTATTAGAACCAGAAGAGATCTTTATGAATAATTAATATCATAAAAGCAAAGGAGAATGTTGCATTATAGAAAAGAAATAGGCAGTTATTAAGAAGAATTAATTGATACTGATTAAAAATAGGTAAAATTAAACTATACTGGGAAAGTTTCTTCAGAGTTCTATTTTTTTAAGTAAAAATATTAGCTACTCGATTTTAAGGAAATGAAGGAAAAAAATGTTCTTTGAAAATGCTTTGATAAAAATAAAATTGGCTGGGTGCGGTGGCTCTCACCTATAATCCTAGCATTCTGGGAGGCCAGGGCAAGAAGAATGCTTGAGCTCAGGAATTTGAGATCAGCCTGAGCAAAAGCGAGAACCTGTCTTTACCAAAAAGAGAAAAATTAACCAGGCATGGTAGTCCCGGCTACTGAGGAGGCTGAGGCAGAAGGATCACTTGAGCCCAGGAATGTGAGGTTGCAGTGAGCAATGATGAAACCACCACACTCAGGCCCAAGTGATAGAGCAAAACTCTGCCTCTAAAAAACAAACAAAAAAACTGTACAAATTGAGTTTAACAATAAATGTTTGTTAAATGAATAACTTCTTTTCACTTTAAGGTGCTGTATTTTGGGATGTTATCCCTCAGAGGATTACTTCCTTGAAAAGGAAGGCATTTTCCTCCTTTTGGATTTATTGGCAGTAAGTATGGTTATAGCAATTGTAAGACAAAGATAAATATGGCTTTATTAATCTTTTCCAAACTGAGTGCCACAGAACACTATTCTATGAATAAATGTGCCCCCAAATCATGTTCAAATATATTATTTAAGCAAATATATCCTGGAAATTCATAATCACCAACATGTTAAAGGCTCTGAAAATTCCTCCAATTAAGAAATCATTTTATTTAGGCCGGGCACGGTGGCTCACGCCTGTAATCCTAGCACTCTGGGAGGCCAAGGCGGGCGGATTGCTCGAGGTCAGGAGTTCGAAACCAGCCTGAGCAAGAGCGAGACCCCGTCTCTACTATAAATAGAAAGAAATAAATTGGCCAACTAATACATATATAGAAAAAATTAGCCGGCATGGTGGCACATGCCTGTAGTCCCAGCTACTTGTGAGGCTAAGGCAGGAGGATTGCTTGAGCCCAGGAGTTTGAGGTTGCTGTGAGCTAGGCTGACGCCATGGCACTCACTCTAGCCTGGGCAACAAAGTGAGACTCTGTCTCAAAAAAAATAAATAAATAAAAAAAGAAATCATTTTATTTAGATCAGTGTTCCCAAATACACATATGCAGAGAATTTATTTTTTCTTTGTACTCCACCAACCTGCTAAGAAACAATTTGTAAAAAGCTAGACTACATCAAAACACATATTCATTTATTAATAACTTCTATCTTCTTCTCCTAGTATTAAAGTTAAGGGTCACATTAGACAAGGAGCAAAGATAAGCATTTAAAGAACTGCATATAGTTTGGAGGTAATGTGAAAAAGTCTAGTGTGTCATGAACTACCATTTTGCAGACTCAGCAGGAATGAGCATACTAAGCCTTCCAGGAAAGACAGTTGCCATCTAGCTGCTGTGAAAATGTAACTCCAGCAAGCCTGAATTCTAAGTGGGGACCGTAGTCAAGATGATATGGGAAAAAGTATAATTTTGTTTCAATAAAATTTGGAAACGAGATTCTCATGCAGAGTTCTAGCCTTACAACTGCCTATGGTTGCCTTATTACTGTCTGTGGTTGCCACCATTCTTGATTTTATTAACAGAAGAACACTGATTTGATTTAACAAAGATGCTAAAATTATTTGTATCCTTTAACCTCCCTAAAAAAAATTAGTTCATTTCTCTGCTTTTGACTTCTTTGTCTGTAAAACAGGGTTAACAATACATACCTCACTGCACTGTTGTTGGAAGGATTAAATGAGTGTGTGTGTATGTACATGAGTGTGCATGCATACATATATGTACACACATTGATTAAAATAGTATCTGGCACATATTGCTCTGTGTTTACTATTCAGAATATTATTATTAGATTTGTTAATTAACTGGTCAAGTTACTACAAATTATAAATATTCTTTAATGAAGTTTTTATATAAATTTCAACCTTTGACATTTGCCTCTTTCTCCTGAAAGTGAAGTATAGGAATAAAAAACTCAATTGAGGGTTCTGCATAATACACTTCTGTTAAAATATTTATAAAGTATGCAATTATAATAATTGCTAATATAGTTAAATTTTAATGAGAGATTACTATGTGCCAGGCAATCTCATATAACTCATAATAACCCTTCTCAGGTAATATTATTATCTTTCGTTTTATAAAAGAAAACTGATAATGTTTGCAATTCAAAAACAGTTTACATGTTTCCTTTGCTATATTCAATTAACAATATACTGTAAAAGTTAATCAACAAAAAATATTTCACATAGAAAAATTACTGTGTGGAGCCCATTGATTTGAATGGAATTTTCTGTACCTAAATTTTTGTTTGCTGAAAACTAGTTGTAACAAAATAAAGGAAATATTCTTGATAAGAGAATGTTTCTTGAATGCTTAAATACTCTTTTATGAATGCTAATTGTCAAAAAGTTATATCTCATTTTCTTTTATTTTCATATGTGATTTTCCTTGTAATTACCATCAGTTATTCTTTTAATAACAAGAGATTATAGTTAATATGTCAAATCTTTACAAACCTTCATAAAGCATGTGAATGAGGAAAGATCCTATCATTACAGTGAACTGTGTAAAGCACTATTGACCTCACTGAACCTAAAATGAACATCTTCTCTTATTTTTGCAAATCTCCCTTTTCCAACTGAACGAAATCAATTACATTTTTGGTCATATCATTTTTATGGTTACTTCAGAATTATATTAAGTCTTTTTCTTTTTATCCTTTTTAATTTCTAATGTTTGAAAATGTACTCATTACAATGGGTATTTTAACGGGAGATTGTCCCGACTCTGAGTTTAGAAGAAACTGATAATACAAATGTTCCTCTTTTTTTATTAAAGCAATAATTCTTAATATTTATTGCAACGTTTTTCCTTTTCTATTTCCTTACTAAAGCTGAACCAAAAGAAATTCTGTAATCTAATACTTGGAATAATGGTTGAATTTTGTGATAATCCCAAAACAGCAGCTCATGTCAATGCTTGGCGAGGGAAGAAGAATCAGACAGCTGCTAGTCTTTTAATTAAACTGTGGCGAAAGGAAGAAAAAGAACTAGGAGTAAAACGTGATAAAAATGGGAAGATCATTGGTGAGTGTATTTATAATTGTTAGTAGGAGCAATTAGATGCATTTTTTGAAAACAGATCATTAGGCCAAGTGCGGTGTCTCACATCTGTAATCCTAGCACTCTGGGAGGCTAAAGCAGGAGGATTGCTTTAGCTGAGGAGTTCCAGACCAGCCCAAGTAAGAGTTGAAACCCAGATCTACTAAAAATAGAAAAATCAGCTGAGCATCCTGGTATGTGCCTATAGTCCCAGCTTCTCAGGAGGCTGTGGCAGGAGGATTGCTTGAGCCTAGGAGTTTGAGGCTGCTATGAGCTAGGCAAACACCACAGCACTATAGCCCAGGCAACAGAACAAGACCCTGTCTCAAAAAAGAAAAGGAAATTGAATCCTCCTCCTCACTTTCCCCCTTCATATAAAAACCTTTAAAAGGTATTATTAGAAAAGCATGAGCACTTTCACCCCTTAGTCTAACTAAAGTTCTTTTCACAAGGGTGTAAAGAACTTGGTCTCATAAATTCTGAATGAGTGGAAGAAAACTAGATATATTAGTAGTAGGTTCATAGTTTTATAGAATATTTTCAAGAAGTATTATTTGATTATACCATTAATTTAAAAAACTAACAGTGGTTCCTAAAGAAGTTTCTTTGAGTTCCCTGCTTTTAGAAATTGATTCAGTAATATTTAACTTACCAATGAAATTTTGGGATGTAAATAGATTACTTGAAAATAATTTTATAGCATTTTGCACATTTCTGTTGATTAATGTTTATACAATTTTTACATAAAGGAATAAATTGTTTTCTAAATAAAAATAAATCAAAAGTTCATAAATTTTAATTTCTAGATTCTAAATTAATAAGGATAGAATTATCAGAATTTATAGTTCATTTATTTACATATTCTATAATGCTATATTACATTTTCTAAATATTTTAAAATTCTTTTGGTTTCATCTAAACTGTTAGTACTGTTTACTTTTAAATGAAAATACTTCCCCTTCTGATGATTTGTATCTTCGATCTATTTTTATTATTTCTCAGTTTTGATCTATAAATTATAAATTAGTTTTATATTTATAGCATAATATATAGAAGCAAAAATCAAAGGAGTTACATCATTGTTAAACTGACATTATTCAACTTCTGGATCTCAAAATTTAAAAAGTTATTTACATAAAAATTTTACTTTTAAAATTTTGTGAAATTTTTATATTTTAGACAAATAATAAAAATTGAAGCTTTAAATTTTGTCACTGAGTGGAAAAGAAATTACTGATTATTTATGATTTTGAAAAAGAAAAACCATGTATAAGGCACTATTTTAATGGTATAATATTTCATTTATTTTGTTATCTAGACTAAAATCTCAAAATTAAGTATTTACTACAGTTTTTATCTTTCCCTTCTATATTTTCATGGTATCCAATGATTAGATACAAAGAGACCTCTATTTACTAGTTTTCAAGAAGAGCAAACAATTATACCACTGCCTGCTAATTGCCCATCTATTGCAGTTTTGGATGTTGCTGAGAATATCAGAGCAAAAATTTATGCTGTGTTGGACAAACTAGGTAAGAAGTTGCTCCTCAGATTCACAAGAACCTCTCTGTTTTGCTGAGTATACACATTAATTTTGCTTTGGAGTTCATTTTTAAAACATAGTGAGCAAAAGTTTCTATATACGTAGAAATTTATGTTCCATTGTTACCCCAATTCCCAAACTGCACTCATGACCAAACAGAATCTCTAGATGTGGGGCCCATGCCTTAGTATTTTTTAAAAGCTCTGCAGGCAATTTCAATGTATAGCCAGGATTAAGGGCAGTTAGTTTAAATGATTAGAGTTCAACACTAGCATTCTGAATCATCTGAGTTTTTTAAAGTCCTAGCTTCCTATTAAGCAAAAAGTCCTCAAACATTAAGCTACTGAAAGTAAGATACCATTGTCTTACCACAACACAGAATGAATGATTCCTCTTCTAATGGCTAAATAAAGATTACCTGGCAGAGGTTTGTTATAAGGGAAGCCTATTCACAAACTACTCACAGAAATATCTTTTCCATAAATCAAGATGAAATCAAAAGTAACTACTAATATTTGCATGTGTTTTTATAATATTAAGGTCATTAAATATGAAAAGTCTGATTTTGAATCGAAAGTTTAGTTTATTAAATCTCAAACAAGAAGCAGTATGAATAATCAAAGTATGCACCTAAACTATCAATACAGTTTTGCCATCTTAATGGTAGCTTGTTTATGCCAGCAGCAAAGAAGCTGGAGAGCAAGTGGAGATGAAATTGCAAAAGGCATTTTCCACGCTTGTTGAGAATTGAATATTTTTCCTTGCAAAGAGTGGTCCAAAGCCTAGAAGTGGTAGTCAGTTGGCAAAATGTCTGGTGAATATGGTGGATGACAGAGAGTTTCTAAGTCCAACCGCTATAGTTTGAGCAGCATTGTTTGTGTGACTTGTGGTTGAGCATTGTCTTGCAAGAGGATTGGCCTGTCTCTATTGACCAGTCTGGGCTGCTTAATTACAAGCATCTTCATCATTTTGTCCAGCTGTTTGCAGTAGACATCGCTGTAATTGATTGGCCAGGTTTCATGAAGCTGTAGTGGATAATACCAGTGCTGGACCACCAAACAGACACCATTAGCTTTTTTGATGAATATTTGGTTTCAGACTATGTTTTGGCACTTAATCTTTATCTAACCATTGTGCCAAATGCTTGCGATTGTCAAAAAGAATCCATTTTTCATCACACGTAACAATATGATGTAGAAATGGTTTGCCTTTATGTCTTGACAGCAAAGAAAGGCAAGCTTCAAAGATGGTGTCTTTTCGGGTGCTCATTTAATTCATGCAGTGTCCTTCTATCCAGTTTACTTACCTTGCCAATTTGCTTCAAATGTCCAGTATTGTTGGAATAGTAACATGAAACCTTCCTGCTAATTCATGTGTAGGTTGAGATGGATTCGCTTCCACTACAGCTTTCAGCTAACCATTCTCCACCTTGGTCTCAGGTCACCCACGTGGCTCATTTTCAAGATTAAAATCACCAGAATGGACCTTCTCAAACCATCAACATGCTATGCCTTCATTAGCAACATCCTTCCCAGACATTTTATTGACATTTGGAGCAGTCTGGGCTACATTGATTCCACAATGGAACTCATACTAAAAAAATAACACAAATTTTTTACTTATCTGTTGTTTCACAAAAATTGCTCTAAAATTTTTTTGAAAGTTAATCACAAGCCAAATTGTGTATTTGAAAGAAAGAAGATGTACCTTCATATTAAAATAAAACAAGAAGTGTCAAAATGAAATGTTAGAGATGTCAAATGTCAAACTTCGTACTTAAGGAAATTGGACATTTCATACTTCATAACCTAAAACAATATATGCTTCTTTGAATCACTTACTCTGTTATAGTAACTATATCTTTATAATTTTGTTTAGATTTTGAAAATTTACCTGGCCTGTCTACTGAAGATTTTGTCACCCTCTGTATTATACATAGATACCTTGATTTTAAAGTAAGTACCTTTTTAATAACATTATTATTAAAATCTAGTATGCCAAAAAATGAATTGGGAAATAAGAGATCTATTCACAGTTGTGAGCACTCACCCACATATTGTGTAGTTTTTATTTTCCATTATGCATCTGATACTGTTAAAGAAATATATATTGGATATGAAGAAAATATCCAATCAAATATAATTGGGATAAGATTTCATCCAACTTAGTTTATAGAAGAAGAGGTACGTTACTGACTTAAAGCTATTCAGAAGCCTAACAGAACATTTTAAAATACAATTTCTTCTCTTTGAGCTTAGCATTTGAAGTTAAATAAATTATTACTTATTTAAATAAATTATCAATGCTTATTAAAGTATTATTTTATTATAACTTTATATCATGATCAAATTTCAATATAAGGATATCAAGTTTCTTACCTGGCTGGCTATATTTTTGTCAGTAAATAAATGCTTTTGAGGTTTCAGGAAAGTCTTTTTAAGTAAACATCCTCCTTATATTAGTACTATGTATTTGAATGTTCTTAATGAATAAACCTCTATTTTCAAATGAAAACAAAGTTGAATTTTATCCATATCTTAGATACATAAGTTTTTCTCTAATTTTAAATATTCTCAAGCACATTAATTTCTAGAAAATCCAGATTATGAGATGGAGAGCTATCAGCATGATGGAACCATGGAGTTAAAAGCTCGAGATATAATTATAATTTGCCTTAGCTAGAAGGTGAGGAGCAGGGCCCTATTTCTCAGAGTACTTGGGTCGTAGGGTCCCCATAATCCCCATGTTCATCTACAAGTTCAGCTTGACCTAGCCTTCAATACTGGGCTTTAGGGAAGAAAGCAGCAGTAGTGCAGAAAGATGAGAATAAATCAGTTTCTGCAGCTCTGAAAACAAGGCAAGTATAAACTAAATACAGTGATGAGGGCAATGAACTAGACACAGGTAGTGGAGCCTCATCCATGATATCATTGAAAAACATTTGATAAATTACTTTTTTTTTTTTTTTTTTTTGAGACTCTGTTGCCCAGGCTAGAGTGTCCTGGCGTCAGCCTAGCTCACAGCAACCTCAAACACCTGGGCTTTAGCAAATCCTTCTGCCTTAGCCTCCCGAGTAGCTGGGACTACAGGCATGCACCACCATGCCTGGCTAATTTTTTCTATATATATTTTTAATTGTCCAGCTAATTTCTTTGTATTATTTTTTTAGTAGAGACGGGGTCTTGCTCTTGCTCAGGCTGGCCTTGAACTCCTGAGTCAAACAATCCATCTGCCTCAGCCTCCCAGAGTGCTAGGATTACAGGCCTGAGCCACCGCGCCCAGCTGATAAATTACTTTTGAATACTCAAATGTAACTGTTGCCCTAAATCATTCCCAATACATTTATTCCCAAGAAGTAATCTAGGAAAAGCTTAAGTATTGACAGGAGTGACCACTCACATAAGTTTTAGGTAGAAGGTTACCTAAAAGTGTTTCATTTGTTTTTGGTTAATATAACTTTTTAAAACCTAAACTTTGTTGTAACAGATTGGAGAAATATGGAATGAAATATGTGAAGAAATAAAATTGGAAAAGTTAAGACCAGTCACTTCAGATAGAAAAATCTTAGAAACTATTACAACAGCATCAGAAAGTATTGGAAAGATGGTTGCTTCTCTACAAAGTGAGATGATTGAAAGCCAGGCACGCCAAGATGTACAAGATGAACAAAAAGTATATGCAAAAGTAAGCCCCATGGAGTGGGGGGGATGAAGAGAGGTTGGTTAATAGATACAAAAATATAGTTAGGTAGAAGGAATAAGTTCTAGTGTTTGAAAGCGTAATAGGGCAACTATAATAACAATAAGTTGTTGTATATTTCAAAATAGCTAGAAGAGAAGATTTGGAATGTTCCCACACAAAGAAATGGTAAATGTTTGAGGTGATGAATATCCCAAAATTACCCCAATTTGATCATTACACATTGTGTGCATGCATCAAAATATCACATGTACCCCATACATATGTATAACTATTAATATTATGTATCAATTTAAAAAGCCACAGATACCATTGAGGCACAAGATATTAATTTCAGTATATAAACTAGATTAAGTTATCCATATAATTTGTCTTATTTATGAATGTTTCAGCCTTGAGTTATTTTGTGGTTTTCTCTTACAGTGATGTTAAGTGTCTCTGTGCTGTTTTAAAAGAAACCATGGAATTAAAAGCTTGAGATTCCATTACTATATTAAGCGCTATTTTATGGCACTATAATTTGAATGTTATAGTCTTACATTTTTAAAAGGTAAAGAGATACCTGAAACATTGCTATTTTTTAAAAAATGCCAAACGTGATTCCAAAAATTGTGGTCTACTTAAATATATACATTTAACAAATTCCGTCTGACAACAGTGTATCTCTGTTGACTATATGCATAACCTCACTGAAAGAGAATGTTGGCCCCCAGCCCTCACTCTATGGTACGTCCTTACTGAAATTCCAACCATAGGCATATCTATTGATCAGCTTCATCCTTACCTCAGTACCAAAACCTTCACTATGGGCATTCAATAAATACAGATATAGGTCTCTGACTTTGGCTGAAAAAGCCTATCAATGGATATCAGCCTTTTCTCCTAATTTTATAGTATCTAGTCTTTAGATATTAAAGAAATAGCCAATGTATGACAAAAGTAAAGTTAGTAAACTAACACATTCTGTACACTTTGTGTTAAAATTCATAAAAGGCTGTTCTGAAAAGGACTTTTGGAATGAAATGATAACATTTCATTTAAGTGATACATATGCCTGTATTCACCGGGTTGATAGTGAAGAAGAGTTGGAAGAAATGAAAGATTCTAGACCAGAATGTTCCTATTTAGAAGACAGCTTTATATATAACCAATGTTACATGTGTGTAGTTTATTCAACACTACTGTGTATATAGTGGACAAACTTAAGTGTTTATGTGAAACATCTGGTCTTTCTAGATGTTTAGAAGTGTAGAAAGTAGGTTAAAAGTAGAGGTAGTAAGGTGGGGTGCGGGTGGCTCACGCTTATAATCCTAGCACTCTGGAAGGCTGAAGCAGGTGGATTGCTCGAAGTCAGGAGTTCGAAACCAGCCTGAGCAAGAACGAGACTCCGTCTCTACTATAAATAGAAAGAAATTAATTGGCCAACTAATATATACAGGAAAAAAAATTAGCTGGGCATGGTGGCGCATGCCTGTAGTCCCAGCTACTTGGGAGGCTGAGGCAGGAGGATCGCCTGAGCCCAGGAGTTTGAGGTTGCTGTGAGCTAGTCTGACACCACGGCACTCACTCTAGCCTAGGCAACAAAGCGAGACTCTGTCTCAAAAAAAAAAAAAAAAAAAAAAAAAAAAAAAATTCATAGGAAAGACTGTTCTGAAAAACAAGGAAGTGAAATTGTTAAAATCCCCTCTAACCATTACAGATGCTTATACCTGTCCACTTAGTTGACAGAGGTGGGAAGGGGAAGGTTCTAGGACAGAATGTTTCTATTTAGAAGACACTTTGAGATTATAGTTTTTGTTATGTGTGCATGCCATTTATTCAGTGCTCACTGTTTATTCAGTGCTACTGCATAGATGGTGGAAAACATAAGTCCTATTTGAAACATCTAGTCTTTCTAGATGTTTAAAAGTGCACAAAATATGTTAAAAGTAGAGGACTAAAGTAACATCCTGTAAGTAATTTTCGTTATTTCATAGGAGTGGTTGTTGAATTTTGGAAATGGAATTGTAAAACTTCATGTCTTGGAGAGTATGCTAACTGTTCACTAGGTGGTAGTGGGAAGGGGGAAGAAGTATGCAGAAAGAAGGGTTCTGCGCCCATGAGTTAGTTTAGTTCAGATCGTCTACCATGGTTCTATATGTGCATTTTAGTTAACATTGCTGTGTATTAAAGGATAAGTAAGTCGTAATGTTCAAAGTATGTTAAAAGTATAGGCAGTGGGCTGGGCACAGTGGCTCACACCTATAATCCCAGCACTTTTGGAGGCCAAGGCAGGAGGATCACTTGAGGCCAGGAGTTCAAAACCAGCCTGGGTAACATGGCAAGACCCCATCTCTACAAATAAAGTTTAAAAATTGGCTGGGTGTTGTGGCACATGCCTGTAGTCCCAGTAGTTCAAGGTTACAGTGAGCTATGATTGCACCACTGTACTCCAGCCTGGGCAACAGAGCAAGACCCTATCTCTAAAAGAAAAAAAAAAAACAAAGAGAGGTAGTAAAAAAAAAAATTTGTTATGAATGTCCTTTTGTTAGTTTTTAGGAAGGACTGTCTTCTCAGAATTACCTTTGTTAATCTACCTCTCAGAGATAAATGTAGCCCTGTAGTTCATCACTGGAGTGGTGGAAGACAGAGAAGAGGAAGGGCGAAGGGAAGGGCTTTTTGCTAGTATCTCCATATCTAGAAGATGGTTTTAGATTATTACTGCAGGTTTATATGTGGACTTTTAGTAAAGTACCTGTGTTTATTGTGGACAGAGTTCATTATATTGCAACATCTAAGCTTTATAGATGTCCTAAGATGATAATGTATGATTAAAAAGTAGAGCTAGAATGTGAAACTATTAAAATTCCAGAGGAAAACATTGGAAATACTCTTCTAGACATTGGCCTAGGCAAAGAATTTATCAAAAAGACCCCAAAGGCAATCACAGCAACAATGAAAATAAATAAATGGGACCTGATCAAATTAAAAAGATTCTGCACAGCTGAAGAAACTGTTACGTGGACAAACAGATAATCTACAGAATGTGAGAAAGTTTTCACAAGCTACACATCTGATAAAGGGCTGATAACTAGAATCTATTTAGAACTCAGGAAAATCAGCAAGAAACAATCAAACAACCCTATCAAAAAGTAGGCAAAGGACATGAACAGAAATTTTTCAAAAGAAGATAGGATAATGGCCAACAAACATGAAAAAATGCTCAACATCTCTAATCATCAAGGAAATGCAAATCAAAACCACAATGATATATCATTTAACTCCAGTGATTAAGGCCTTTATCAAAAAGTCCCAAAACAATAAATGCTGGTGTGGATATGGAGAGATAGGAACACTCATACACTGCTGGTGGGACTGCAAACTAGTGCAACCTTTGTGGAAAGCAATATGGAGATAACCTGAAAGTGATACAAGTAGATCTATCATTTGATCCAGAAATCCCATTACTGGCCATCTACCCAAAAGACACTCTATAAAAAAGATATCTGCACTAGAATGTTTATAGCAGCACAATTCACAATTGCAAAGATGTGGAAACAGTCCAAGTGCCCATCAATACAAGAATGGATTAATAAAATGTGGTATATGTATACCATGGAGTAGTATTTAACTATAAGAAACACTGGTGATACAGCACCTCTTGTATTTTCCTGGATAGAGCTAGAACTCACTGTACTAAGTAAAGTATCCCAAGAATGGAAAAATAAGCACCACATGCACTCACCAGCAAATTGGTATTAACTGATCAACACCTAAGTGGACATACAGGAATAACATTTATCGGGCATCAGGCAGATGGGAGGGGGAGGAGGGGATAGGTATATACATACATAATGAGTGTGATGCACACCATCTGGGAGATGGACATGCTTGAAGTGAGGGGGAAGGGGGGCCATGCTTGACTCTGGGAGGGTAAAGGGGGAAAAGCAACACACGTAACCACGTAACTTAAACATTTGTACCCCCATAATATGCTGGGGGAAAAAAAGTAGAGCTACTGAATAGCCAATTTGTAAGTATCTTTTTGCTATAATTGATAGAAAAGATGCATCTTATCTTGGTCATGGAAATTGTTAAACCACTTCTGAGTAGTGTATATCAAGATTTGTTCATTAGGTTGGCAGCAGAGGGGGAGAAGGAAGTGTAAAGGCAGAGATGTCTGTAGATGTGTTCATATTTACATTTTGATGATAGCCACTAATATATATGCATCTCTTTTTGCTGTACTGTAAGAATACATTAAGTAATTCAATGGAAACATGTCTTCTTGCTAATATTTAATGGTATAGATCTGATAATGAATTCTATTAGAAACATGAAAAAATATTCTTAGGCTCATAATTTGAGCTTAATGGTATATACTACCCAAACGCAGGTGTCCTTTGATTATATATTTAATCAGTAGACTGTTGAGAATTACAGACTTTGCAGTTTGTTAGTAGGTAGCCCCCTAGACTACATCACCATAACAAACTCAGCACTCATAAAATTGCTTGTCTTACTGAAGTTATAAATTAGAAGTAGTTTTACCAATATAATTTGCTTAAACTATTATCTATGGCTAGCAGGAATCTCTTTTTATTTTCCCCAATGAATTTGCTATTAAATCATTTATATAGCTTGTCTGGATTATGATTTGTCTTCACAAGTAGTAATCATGTAAAACAATCAGTCTTACTGAGAATAATTATTATTATGAAAATATTAGTTTTGCATTACATTTCATGAAAAGCAGTCAAAACCGTAGCCATATAATGATTGAAGGATTGTTTCCCATTTTAAGGCTTTTGTTTTTAAATTTTTAAGTTCTATGAATAATCTTTTAATTAGTCAGCCTTAAAATTTACCTCAGCAAAGAACAGATGCTTCCTTCAAAATAAGAATTTTCAAGCCCTTTGGTATTGTTTTATAGAAACTAAAACTCTTAATTATCTCTCTTATTTCAGATACAAGCTACACACAAGCAAAGAGAACTGGCTAATAAATCATGGGAAAATTTTGTGGCTAGAACATCAAATGCTAAAACATTAAAGGTAGGATTTTTAAAGTATTATAAAATCCACAACAAATAACTCTTATGGAGAGTCTTTTTCAGGAATGAATATTCATTCACTTTTTTCTGGTGACCTTTCTGTATAATACCAACACAATCCAATCCTCATACGCAATTTAGGGTGATAACTGAATTTGGTTCAGCAGGGAGAGGCAAGTGTGGTGTTCTTGGCCTACATAAAGAAGGAGATGATAGTGAGGCAGGAAGGAGATAGGAAAATGTGCTCTTTCTATTCTGAACCTTCAGAATACTTTCTATTCTGAACCTTCTTATTCTTTGATTTCTTTTCTGTAAGAAACAAAGGACAGAAAAAGCAACTGTCCTATATTACCTTCTCCCCCAAATATTTTCCCCCTCTATGATCACTGAAGGAAACATTAAAACTTAAATGGGAATTTGGGATAAATATCCCTTTGTAAAAATGTGATAAGCTGCTTCAGCTATAAGCTAGAAACTAATTTTAAAAATTTATAATGCTAATTGTTTAAAATATGTGTAAGTGCCATGGATTTCCAAAATTTCATTATTTTTCCCCACCTTTTCCATTAGTACCTTGAATGTTCTTTTACATAATGTTACAGTTCTTTCTTTAGATGTGAAATTGTTAAATGTTAAGTTAGTCCACAAAAATAGTGGAACTATATTAAGATAGCAAAATCAAATATAGCCATCTGTACAAACTTATTCAAGTTACCAAGGATCCCCCTTTTCACTAAAAGTTCCTTCCAACTTTACTTAAAAAATTTCTTCATAACTGCTTGTGTTTTCAAGGAATAGTTAATGAAAATCAGCGTCTTTCCTACAAATCATTTGTTACCTCACATTTCACCTGTTTAGTGCCTTGACTATTGAGTTTGAATTAACTGCAATGAGTTATATAATTTCTATTGTTGTAAATGTTTAAAGCATTTCAGTATATTGAATTAGTACTTAATTTTGTGGTGTGCATCACCTGATATAAATTTACTAGCTTATTAAATTATGTGCTAAAAATTGAACCTGATTTCCTCAGGACCTGCTTTATTCCTTGGTCTTGTATAACCAGTACCTCTAGAAATCTCACGAACATTTTTAGGTGACTGGTGTTTTCTTCAGTGGTACAAAGCATCTAACTGACTAATAACTGTCTTCTTAGACTAAATGAGTAAATGCAGGTTTCAGGGCTACCTAATAAACAGCCAAACCATAAGCCAAACACAATTAAATATAGTTTTCATTGTAAGTACCATAGTTAATGCTTTAATAGCAATTAATATTATTGTCTTTCTAATTTAAAATTCTGCAGAAAGCAAAAAGGCTTCAGGAAAAAGCTATAGAATCCTCTAGATACAGTAAACGACCACAAAATGCAATATTGCACCAGACAGATATTAAAGGCCTTAATACAACGGTAAGATTATTTTTTCTATGATGTTTTCTTAATAAATATTAAATTTAGGCCCCAAAACTGTTACTTCTATTGGATTTTTGTCCCATCTTTTCCTTTTGCTGTTCAGGTTTCACATTCTTAAGACATATTTATCTCCAAGGTACATCCACTCTTGCCCAGCGCTGGTTTACAGCAGGCCCAGCCCTCTAAGATTCCTAAGAAACTGCTACAAACACTAGTCAATGTATCTATCTTTATATCTCTTCCACAGAAAATGTGCAGTGCCACCTCTGTCTCGCAAGTAAACCCATGCCATATGCCAGTGTTCCTGGTGACTTCTGCTAGATATAATTTTCCCTGGGTTACAAAGCTGATAAGTAATAGAAGTAGGATAAAAACCTGCTTTTCCTAGCTCCAGAGCCCTTATCTTTCCATTATGCCATACTATCTCCTACTTATATGTATATTTTGTGTCTTTTCCAAAGTAAGCTGAAGGATGAATGGGGTTTTCTCATATTGAAAATTTTGTTAAGTGGACTCACAGATATTTACCTTTTGCATTTTTAGGTACCCTCTGGTCCGGTAGTAACAGTGGAAAGCACTCCTGCCCGATTAATAGGAGGACCTCTGGCCGATACTGATATTGCTCTTAGAAAACTGCCCATTCAAGGAGGAGCCTTGCAGAAGGTGAAAGCAGTTAAAGCTGTGGATGAACCAAGAAAGAGTATTCCTACATAATATACTTTAGAGACTTTTTGAAATAAAGTCTGCTTATAATCTTTTAGTTAAATATATCTTTATATGTAAATGTAAAGCAAATATTTTAGTACAATACCATGAAAAATAAAAGTAAGGACATAAAATTTATTTTTATTGGAAACAACAACATAATATCAGAAGAGTTTTCATCAATTTCTTTGGAAAGACTACCATTTTCTTAACTGAAATTGTAAAACATAGTATATTGGTTAGAATTCTTTTGGTTGCACATGAATTCTAGTTTAAGCCAAAAAAAATTTTTTTGACAGGCTCTGTATCTACCAAATCTAGGATTTATTTAGAACACAGGCATTGTTGGATCCAGGGACTAAAACTATGAGTAGGATCTTCTCCTTTCCTAGCAGCTCCTGCCTTACATTTTCTCAGGTTCATACTCAGTGGAGAAGAGTATATCCCTGTCTCTCAACAGTTTCTACAAATGCCTGTGCATCTTGAGACCCCTGATTGGCCGCATTCCCACTCCTGAGCCTTTCACCATGACTTTGGCCAGATATGCGTACAGCCTACTCCTGGAGCCAGAAGCAGGCCCACCCTGTCCAGAGCACATGAATGGAATTGGGGAATCAGAGTAATGGTTATCAGAAGTATATATGTATACTGGGCAGCAAAATAAATAATAACTCTGCAACAAATATGTTGGTCAAAGTAAAATAAGTTATCTCTACTATAAAAAGCAAATGTTAGTCATAAGCTAAAGAGTAAAAATAAAATGTAAAAATACAACTGATTTTACCCTTAATATATAAATATGCAAGGCAAATTATAATGCTATTTCTCTTCTTGAATGGGGAAGGGAAAGGGAGAGTGGGGGAATTGTTTTCCTTCCTTTGGTGGTGGAAGTATCTTGCCAAAGAATAGGAGGTAGATGCCTTAATGCTGAATGTAGAGCAAATCCATGTCTCTGGATGCTATTATGAGGTTTCCATCTCCTGTCTTCATCCCCATCACACCCCTCCTCTAGCCAAGAAACCACAAAATTGAGTTCATGTTTAAGGCTGGGAGAGATAAAAACCTATTTTCTTAGGCAGGAAAATAAACTGTATTTGAGTCTAGATTCTAGGCTCACAGAGTGCACTCAGCAGTGTACTGGTAAATGTATAATAACTGGCTTTCCAGGGGGAAAGCCCTAATTTATAGCATTTGCCAATTTGTGTGGTATAAATACTCCCACTATGACCAATTTCAAGCTACCAACATGATGCTATGGAATGCAGAGTTGGAAAGAGATTAATACATTTCAATTTCATTATTAGATAATAACAGGCTCCTTCACCCCATTGGACCCACCTTTTCCTACTTCCTCTTTCCTCTTCCTCCTTTCTGAACTCACATTTCTCTAGGAATTTTATATTATCCTCTCTGTGAGGATAGTAGCTTTTTCAGTGAGGGGAGAAGTTTAAACTGTTGTTATTGTGCTAATTAGAATGAGTTTCCAGTTCACCTTTGGCTAGCAGCCTCTCACCCTGGCAGAGCTGCTCAGGCCCCTTGTGGCCTGCAGGAGTAGATACAAAAATATGCATCAGCTTATCAGTGACCTTTGTTCTCTCTTGAATCCCTTTCTCTACTACCACCACCCCCAGAAAGATATTAAAAGGCATAATGTGTTCTTTTCCTTCAAAGGAAGCCCTAAGCATAAAGATTCCATGTAAAAAGGAGTTACTAAAACACAGGAATGGATGTGGGTAGGGGCATGCAGTGATGAAATACTCATAGAAAAAGCACCAGATACACCTTAGGTATGCCTCAGTTTATGCCCAGAGTTGATATGAAGTGTCCATGGTTAATAACAAGGAATCTTTGCCCATTTTGTACACTATAAGCACATTCCCCCAATTCTAAGCTTCCTGGGAACAAAGTAGAGACCATATCTCACTCATTATTGTAATCAACATCTCAGTAAATAAATGACTGGGTAAGTGTGATGGTAGCCTCAGCTCCTGGCAACCTTTCCCTTGAGCTCTGTAAATGCAGCAAAGTACTGGCATCATGTTGCACAGGAGAGAATCTGTCATAAGAATACCTACAAACAGTGCTGTACACCATGGTAGCCTTTCTGAAAACCTGTGGGACAGATTTCTATTGAGTCTTAGTCCTGGCAAAGGCTAGGCCTCTCCTGAATATGTGGTTCAGTTTTCTTATAAGTATGTGAATACTTATAAGAAACTGATCATGAGTCCCTCTTCATTCTGAGAAATGGAAAACAGACCAAATTTACAGGTACCCTTTATCAAAGATACTAGCTTTTATAACATATACTCAAAAATATTAATCTAAACCATAACTCCATATTATTAGTTTCCTGTCTTCACATCCAATCATTCCAATATCCTCCTACTTCATGTTATCCTACTGTTTAGTATATTTCTTTAAAGCTTCATATCCTTTTTGGAATAAGATGTGAGATATTAACAGGTAATAAAAAGACAAACTGAGCTAATGCCTAAGGACAAAAATTCTATCAAACTGCACTTTACTAAAATGAAGTTTCTTACTGCCTTTTTGTTTGTTGTTCCTTTTTCAAAATGAAAACAATAAAAATGAGAACACAAGTTTTTAGTCCTCAGTGCATAAAAAATAATATATAAGGTGGCTTGGTAATGAAAAGCACATTTCAGAAGCCACACAGTATACTACATCAAGATAAACTATTACTTTTTAGGATAATACTGCCATTTATTTTGGCACAGTTTTAATGTGCCAAATATTAATGTATTAATGTATCAATATTAATGTATAAGAGACCTTATAAAATTAGTTGTAATTTTCCATTGACTATTAAAAATATGTCACATTTGTATTTAAGTGATATTTTCTTTAAAACAAACACACTTTACAGGAACTTCTAAATCAGAAATTATTGACAAATTACCCGAAAGGATGGGAATGATAATTCAACAGCAATAAAGCGATTACATATCAACAAAAATTCAACTTTGATCAATATTAGAGAATTATAAATAGTTTTATATCCAAAAACTTGTCCAAGCCAAGAAGATAGTTAAAAAAAAAAAGAAAAAAAATAGTTTTATAACTACCACAGGAAATATTTGACCTCATCAACACTGACAGAATTAAGCTTTCAGGTTGGTATCATCTTGCTTGAGGTATTTTCCGTGTTTTCCATCTTAAATGTAATACTCATGTTTTGTAAAATCCAGTCCTGTAAGATTTTAGAGGAGAAATTGTTAATATTTATTCTAATATAACTCTTAAGATTCTCCCCTTTCATATGGCCCTATTGAAAAGATTAATTTTAAAATCCTAAATACATGTCTGATGTTTTAAAACTCTCTTCAGCAAATATAAATATAATATAAATAATTACAGGATTAAATGGCTTTCTTATGAACTATTCACGAGAAAACAATAAGAATAATTTTAATGAGCTACCAAAATGTATTATATTCCAAGATTATTTAGAATCAAGTATTTGTATATCAGAGCTCCCATGGAAATAAAAATGAAAATCAAAGCTTATCATATTAGATAACTGAACATGGCAAATTTGCTAGCTTATTGGATAAATGGAAAAAAATCAGAAGGATTAAAAATTGAAATTGAAAGGAAACTAAACTGCTATTCTCTTAAATACACATTTAAATTACCTCCTGTTATTTTCTGTGGAAAATTATATTTGGGGGGCATCACCTGTCTTCTGCCCATTCCATGAGATCTTGAAAGCAAGCAGTCTACATACATATCCCAGAAATCCTGAGCTATGTTTAAGAAGACATTATAATGTCCAGGCCTTTGGGATTTTTGCAAGAACAACATGAAATTCCAGAAAGCATCCCCATTGTGCTCTATCTTGAGTTCCTTGAGATCTATCAATGTCAAAGAACAAGCTTTCCAGCACTGGAGATCAATGTCTTCAGTGATCCCTGGGCTGATGTTGGCAAGCACTCCTTTTTGAAATTCAAAATCAGCATTAACCAGATTGATCAGCACCATGCAGCCTAGTGGCAGGTAGAAGCATCTTCTTGTGGCAAAACCCATATTCTATACAGAAAAAAAAAAGGGGGGGGGGGAGAGTATTTTTAACTTAAAAAGAAAATAATTCAAGTACTTAATCTAAAAATCATTTGTTTTTGATCACGCCAAATTTGCCTACTAAGTATTTGTTAGTTTTTCTCTAAGTTGTTGACTTTCCTTTGAAAAGGATCTTACAATTCCAATTTGCTCACCAATGTTCTGATAGAGTCTTCGGGAGCCACTGAAATCCAACACACGTTTATAAAAATGTGATAGGTTCATTTCATCACAGACCTTTAAAGCTGGAAGAAGCCTTAAAAAAGAGCATGTGTTTGAATCTTCTCCTTTTACAGATTAGAAAAATTCTCAATGATGCGGTTCAGCAAGTTCTCAAGGTCTCTTGACTGCCCATCCAAGACTCCCCCCACAACACATTCCAACTAAGTGGATCAGAATGCCTTCCTTTCTCTGTGTAACCATGAGAAGCATTTGGTTGTTAATTGAGATGTTACAAATTTATTAACCCAAATGGTATTGAATCTCTCAAGCACTGTTTTAAGTTCAAAGTTACTGCTGCTGCCATTTTTATTTACTGAAAAACATTTGTTAAGCACTGATGTCTGGTGGATCCCTCGCTTCTCAGATTGTTCAGGAGCTGGTTGGAGAAGATTAACATACATACATGAAGGAGCACGAAAACAGAGGTGATAGCTAGTATGAGATGGTGCAGGGCCAATGACATTCAGCAAAATGCTAACATTTTCTAACATTTTCTAAGGTTTTGTTGCACAAGTTTTCCTGCCAATTAATTTCTCAGTAAAATCGGCCTACATACAGCATTTAGGTGGAAGTCAAGGACCAAGTTGGCATTGAATTGTCACAGAGGTACTGTTCATTGCTAGCATTGGAAATGTCCCCGTTACAACTCTGACAGCCAACGGAAAAAAATAAGTTGAGGAGGCAGACTTAGAACAAAGGACTCACCTCTTTCCCACCGTCTACCGCCGTCCTTCACCTCCCCCAGAAAAAGTTAGGCTAAAGAGAGAAATTTAAACACACGAAACAAATTTAAACAAGATATTCAGGTCGTTTCACACCGTCCAAAACTGCGCAGGTTCCCCACACTGAGCTGACAGTGGCCAGTTTACGATGACACGTGTTCTAAAAGGTGAGGGTCTGGGTGGAACCCCTCAATCTCACGTTAGCTCCTCGACCAGCGCCGTGCTCCTGGGATCGGGTCCCCGGGACGCAGAGAGCCCGCGCGGGCATGAGCACCCCTCGTCGGGTGGGGGCGCGCGTCCCGGCGCGGGGTGCTGCGCGCGCTGCGCCGGCTCAGAGGGGGCGCGGGCGCCTCCAGCTCCGGAGGGACCGCGGGTTCCCGCGCGGGCTCGGGATGACCGACCCCCGGCCTCGCCAGCGCCCACACCCTGCCCGGCCGGGCCCACCCGCGGGGGCAGGCGGAGGTGCCAGGCGGCGCCCTCCGAGACCCACCCCGAGCGCTGACCGGGCTCCGAGCTCGCCCTGCGGAACCGTCCCGGCCGCACCGAGGGTGGCGCTGCGGGCTCTGCTGCGGCCGCGCGGGGCTCCGAGTCAGACCCGCCGCCCGGACCGCGCTCCTTTTCTAGCGGCGGAGCGAGTGGGCAGAGTGGGTGCCGCGCTCCCGGAGCCCCGCCCTCACCTTGCCCACCCCCGGCCTGACACCCGCGGGCCCAGCGCGCCGCACCCCTGCCTCGGCCGCCGCTCTTCCCGCCTCTGACTTTCTGAGATGAGAGCGGCTCAGGGTCTTTCTTCCTGGTTCTCTTCTTTGTTTCTTGTTTTTTCCTCGTTGGAAGATCCATCTCGGCAGTAGTCAGTTCACATACTCAAGTTATCTTCTCCCTCTCCCCACCCAGTCTCCACGCTCTATTCTCCTATCCAGGGAAAAACTCCCTTAAGGCTGTGGACCCTATTAAAATCCTGAACCTCCCTGGCTCTCTAGCTAAGCACCATTTAAATTATTAACAATAACACAGACATATACCCTTGCTTCTACCTAAATACACACTGTTTAATCCTGGAGGACAGGGGGGGAAGCTTCCTCCAGCCTTTCGTGGAATGAAGACTCTGGGCAAGTCCCTTAAATTTCGTGTATGTATACTGTCCATCAGTCCTAGCCCTAACACATCGTTCTCACTTCGTGTTTAAGTCTGTCTGCTAAGCCTAAACCCCAGTAGTGATGATCAGATGGGGCTGGAAATAGATCCAAAGCCAGTTATCACTACATCCCCTTAGGCAGGTCATGCTCCCTCCCAAGTTCTTGAGCTGAGATGGTGAGTCTATGAGGTGAGATGAGCTCCAAACCCACAGCCAGTCATTGTCCCCCCTAAAGCCCACTTCTCCCAGCACCTACCATTTCTCAAAGCTCCACTTTGTTCTCCTCATCATATCAGTGGAGCTAACATGGTTAATCATTAGTCTTGCCCTGTGCCCTTTCCATCTGCAGGACCAGCTCCTGCACAAAACAGAACTCAGAAAAGAAGACTTGTTTACTCAGATTATGTAGAATTAAGACAAATCCATCTCACACCATATTTTCTTCTGTTCTAGTGTTCCAGGTGTTGTAGACCACTGTTAATCATGGACTCTCAAAGTTAGCAGAGACATTAAAAGTTACCTAATCCAATGTCCCAGGTGAAACTTGAATACCCCACCCTCCCAAGGAATTCCCACACCCAGCAAAGCTGTTGTCCAAGCTTTGACTTGGGCACATCCCCAACCCCCTTAAGGCAACCCCTTCCATTCTTCAGTTACTGTTGGCTTTTCAACAGTTCCTTCTAAGATGAATTAGCTCTCATTCCTCTGTTGAATAACCACATAGTGCCTATATACACATATTGCAAAGCCTCTATAGAAAAGTTGTAAGATATAGAAAGATATAAAGAGCCAGGTAATAGTTGGTGTTTTTATTGCCATACTTTTCCCCCCAATTGTCTTAGTCCATTTGTGCTGCTATAACAAAACACCTGAGACTGTGTAATTTATAAAGAGAAGAAATGTATTGCTTGCAGTGCTAGCTGCTGGGAAGTCCAAGATCAAGGTGCTGGCATTGGATGTCTGGTGAGAGCCTTCTTGCTGCATCTTCACATGGTGGAAAGTAGAAAGGCAAAAAGAGTTGAATATTGTGTGAAGCCTCCTTTACAAGTGACTTAATCCCATTCATGATGGAGAAAAGAGCCCTCATGACCTAATCACTTCCTACAGGCCCCATCTCTTAATATTATTACATTGGAAATTAAGTTTCAACATGAATTTTGGAGGGGCACAAACATTCGAACCATAGCACCAATGCTTGTTAAAGCACAACTAAGATCATTCCTTAAGTATAATTTTGTATACTGTTTTTTCAATAATTAGTATCTCAAATATTTTCCCATGTCATTAAAATGCATTTGTAAAGAATATTAGAGGACAAAACTACTGAATAACAGTACATATTTGGGTATGATTATTGTGACACATATACACACAGAGAGACACACAGTGGAATGGTATCCTGAATAGAGAACTTCTATAAATCAATAAGAGATGTGAGACCAGTCTGGGCAATGTAGTGAGACCACATCTCTACAAAAATATTTTAAAAATTAGCAAGTCATGGTGGCACATACCTGTAGTCCCAACTACTCAGGAGGCTGAGGCAAGAGGATTGTTTGAGCCCAGAAGTTCAAGGTTATAGTGAGCTATGATTGTGCCACTGCACTTCAGCCTGGGCAACAGAGCAAGACATGTCTCTAAAATTTTTTTAAAAAATAATAGAAAAGGAAGCAAAGGATATTAACTGGCATCTCACAGAAGAGTAAACTCTTAATATCCAGTAAACAGGAGAAAAAATGCTAACTTCAAGGGAATAATGTATTGTTTTCCCCAATTCAAACTTAACTAAAATTTAAGTATTAGGTTTGATAGTGAGGGATTCCAGGTCTCCTAGGGATGAATGTGGGTGCTCTTGTCCCTATCTTGGTCCTGTCTAACCCTAATTCTCCATACCTGTCAGAGGAAAGAATACTCTACAAATCTGCGAATCAGAACTGCACCAGCTGCAAAAGAATGCAGAGGACTCTCTAGCCTATGGGCCAAGCAGCATAGGTACCAAAAAGTCCGGAAAGTCCATAAAGTTTTGTTCTCTATTTCTATCATGTAGAAATTGCCCAAGAAATTTCACCATACATATTAACAATTTTACAAAGTCTAATTTGAATATCCATATTTCACTTTTTACCTAAATATTTAACAATTTTTGTCAAACATTAAAACTATTTTGCAGCCAGGCATGGTGGCTCACGCCTATAATCCTAGTGCTCTGGGAGGCTGAGGCAGGAGGACTGCTTGAGCTCAGGAGTTGGAGACCACCGTAAGCAAGAACGAGACCCATCTCTACTAAAAACAGAAAAATTAGCCAGACGTGGTGGTGTGTGCCTGTAGTCCTAGCTACTTGGAGGCTGAGGCAGGAGGATTTCTTGAGCCTAGGAGTTTGAGGTTGCTGTGAGCTAGGCTGACACTATGGCACTCTAGCCCAGGTGAAAGAGTGAAATTCCATCTCAAAAACAAAAAAAAAAAATAAAAAACCTATTAGTAAAACTAAGAATAGAAGATAATTTTATTAACCTCATAAATGTTATCCACCAAACCCCTACAGCAAATGTCTTTCTTACAGTAAAATATATATATATATATTTTGAGACAGAGTGTCACTTTGTTGCTCAGGCTAATTTTTTCTAGATATGGCCAATTAATTTTTATTTATAGTAGAGATAGGGTCTCGCTCTTGTTCAGGCTGGTTTTGACTTCCTGACCTTGAGCAATGTGCCCACCTTGGCCTCCCAGAGTGCTAGGATTACAGGCGTGAGCCACCACGCCTGGCCTACAGTAAAATATTAAAAGAATTCTCTTTTAATATAGAAAAGGGTAAGAAAAAGATGCCCATTATCTCTGCTAACATTCAAAATAATACCTGCATTTAAAGGTTTGGAGGCAGGAAAAAAAGAAGAGGGCAAGGATTAGAAAGAAAGAATGAGAACTGTCTAGCCAAGCAGAGAGACAGCAAAGCTACTGGTGAGTATGGAGCTTGGAAATCAACTGGGTTAAAATCCTGCCTTTTATGTTCAAATGATAACTTGTGACTTTGGGCAAGTGATTTAATCTGTGATTCAGTTTCCTTATATTAAAACAGGGATAAAAAATGAACCTACTTCAAATGGCTGTGATAAATAAACATTTTTAAAGTGTTTAGAACAGTGCCTAATACATACAGTAGTAAACAAGCTGTGTATAAGCATATGTCAAAAATAAGTAAATTGGGCTGGGCGCGGTGGCTCACACCTGTAATCCTAGCACTCTAGATATCATCTTCCCAAATCAGCAAGGTAAAGTAGCTGGATAGATGGGTATCTCATGAATGAAATGAGCATCAGAAGATAAATCGTCTCAAAGTTTGCCTTTCTTTGCTGTCACGACATAAAGGCAAACACTTCTACCAGTGTAGAAACCATTTCTACACTGTATTGTTATGTGTGTTATGTGTGATGTTATGTGTGATGAAACAATACATTTCTACACCGTACTGTTATGTGTGATGCACTGTATTGTTATGTGTGATGGATTCTTTTTGATAATCGCAAGTGTTTGGCACAATGGTCGGATAAAGATGAAGTGCTGAAACACGGTCCAAAATGGAATATTCATCAAACAAAGCTAATGGTATCTGTTTGGTGGTCCAGCACTGGTATTATCCACTATAGCTTCATGAAACCTGGTCTATCAATTATAGCAGTTGTCTACCGCAACCAACTGGATGAAATGATGAGGGTGCTTGTGACTAAGCAGCCTAGATTGGTCACTAGAGACAGGCCAATCCTCTTGCAAGATCACATTTCGCACAAGCAACGCTACTCAAACTACAGAAGCTGGACTTGGAAACTCTCTGTCTTCCACTGCATTCACCAGACCTTGCACCAACTGACTACAAAGTCGTTCAAGCTTTGGACAACTTCTTGCAAGGAAAAATATTCAATTCTCAACAAGCTGTGGGAAACGCCTTTTGCAATTTCATCACCACTCGCTCTCCTGGGTTCTCTGCTGCTGACATGAGCAAGCTACTATTAAGATAGCAAAACTGTAGCTGGGCACGGTGGCTCATGCCTGTAATCCTAGCACTCTGGGAGGCCTGGGTGGGTGAATCACTCAAGGTTAGGAGTTCAAAACCAGCCTGAGCAAGAGCGAGATCCCGTCTCTACTAAAAATAGAAACAAATTAATTGGACAACTAAAAATATATAGAAA